CCCATGGGCAGCCTGGCTAGCAGCCACCAGGGTCTATACTGTCCCACCCCTTCCCCCAAGGGGCTATCAGGAGTGAGCTGGCTGCCAGCCCGAGCCGGGGTCATTGTTTCCCACAGACCATCTGGAGAGAACCCTGATCTGAACATATCGTTGTCAGCTATCACCCAGTCTGCTCTTCCTCTAGAACTGTCAGCAGCCCTACTTTCGCCACATCACAGCTAGCCCAGGCCAGGGCTACATTCAGCTGTACCAGAACAGCCACTGAAACCTCCTCACCAGTCTCCTGCTTCCACTTAGCCCACTTAATGATCTCAAAACCTACACGGCTTCCCACTGGCTTGGCTCACAGAAGATTCCTTCCCAGGGACCCTCCAACACAAGTTCACTCTTCACAAGGTCACTCAGCTATAGCCACAAGCCTTCCCTCTTGCCTCAGGGCCTTTGCACTGATGGTTACCTCTGCCTGGGATGCTTTTCGAGGAATTTTGACATGGGTAGATGCTTCTCAGATGCTGATCAGACATCAACTCAAATATTGCAAAGAAGGCCCCTCCAACAAGTTTAAAACAGCACTCCACAGCAGTACCTTACTGTGACTGCTCTCCTTTTATTCATGGCACTCATCAGTGTTAAAAATCATCTGATATATATGCGGGCTGACAACTCCGGAGGGTGAGTTCTGTAAGGGAGGAGACTATTTCATCTTCCTATAACCTCTACACCTCAGCCAGTGTTACTGACTTTATTGAAAGACGGAGAGTCCCTCATGGCCATAGGGAGAGCACCCCAACTCCCAGCTTGGCATTCACACCCATTCACGGGGCCCCTGTGGCAGCTCCACTGCCATCGCCAGGGTCTCATCAACTTACAGTACCTTATCGGCTCCCACCACATCATTCAAGGGATCCTGAGTTTTACCCACAGCCATTTTACTTCTCCATGCTTTTGTCTATGCTCTTCCTTCTACCTGCAATTTCCTTTCCTCATTGCTCAACCCAATGGCCTTGCTCTACAAAGTTGAAAAGCTAATCACTTCAGACTTAGTTTATGATTTAATTTCTAGCCCCAAAACTTCCTGTCCTGAGTAAGTCTTCCTTTTCCTTGATCTTAGTTATCTCCTCTGCAGAATGGGATTTCTTTATTTTGTTTTGTTTTGTTTTTTATGTTTATTTGGGGTCTTTTGTTGTTGTTTTGTTTTGATTTTTTTGGGGGTGGGGGGTTGAGACCGGGTCTCACTATCTAGTTCAGACTGCCCTGGAACTCAATGTTCAGCCCAGGCTGGTCTCAAACTCATAGAGATCCTCCTGCCCCAGCCTCCCAAGTGCTGGGATTATAGGTATGTGCCACCACGCCTGGCTTTTCGCAAAATGGGATTTCCTATTCTTACTCTTTTGAGCCACCCATCCTGCCAGCAGGCCTTTACTCAGAGCGCTCTCTGAAGGGGCCTCTGACACTCCAGCAGTAGGGTGGGCCGCTGTGGATTTGGCAGCTGCTCCCCCTCTTTTTGCCAACCCACCTGACTGCCCTCCAGAAGAAAACCTGCCTAAAGTCTCCTGGATCCCTCCTCTCACTCTCTCCAGGAAAAATGTGTTAACCCAAGTTACTCCTGGACAGGAAGCGCTGGGCTCTCAGAAAAGGGACAAGGCCTGAAAGGAGAGGGCAGCAGCCTCTGAAGGAGGCAGTTGGGGGCCTCTGATGGGGACAGGCCATTTCTCCCTCTGCCCCACACCCTTCCACGTCGTCCCTCCTCTGAGCTCAACTTTAGGGCCATCTGGAAGTCACCTGAGGCCCACCCTGGTTCTGAGAGGAACACTTGTGACATTCTGGAGGTTGGGAAAGGAGAGAAGGGCAGGACAGGCAGGGTGGGATCCAGCACGGTGGATTTAGTCAGGGAGGGTTTTAATGTGTCACCACCACAGGTCTTGGTGGGTGTGTCTTGGGGATAAAGGATACAGAGTGGAGATTTGCAGTTGTAATATTAAAAACATAAGCTCTGTGAGGATAGGGATATTTGTTGAATTTTGTTCCTCACCATTTCCCAGTGCCTATGGCAAACCTATGGTACACATGCCACACTGGGCTGTTTGTTACCATTGAAAGCTCTAAAAGTTTTGCCATCACTGGCTTAGAGAGACACTTGGCCCCAGACGGCACAGAGCACATTTGTGGTCAGTGGTAGACCCAGCCACGGGAAGCACAGTCACCATGATGTCAGGGCGGGAAAACCAAAGCAGCAAAAGGAAAGGATAAGACCCTGGGAATGACACTGGAGCTGCCACAGGAGGCCCAGTGGTGAGAATGTGAGGACAGCAGGGTGTTAGGCAGTTCACCTTTTCTCCCCAGTCCCTGGGCTCCCCAGAACTAAAAGGTCTCTGGGATCCCTGGGGCAGCAGGAGCCCAGGCCTGAACTGGCAGTCCGTCAGTGCTCTCTTGACCAACAGAGAGTGACATCTCCCTCTTTGAAGAAGAAAAGGACAGGGACAGGCCACCTGCCTAGGATAAGAGGTAGAAATTGAGCCCAAGCTGTCCGGGATGTAAGTCAGTGGCATCGCACCTGCTTGGAAAGTGCAAGGTCCTGAGTTTGATCTCCCAGTACCAGAAAAAAAAAAATGTTGAAATTGTTTCTGGGCCATGGAGCCCTTGTACCCAAGAGGACTCTGGCCCTCAACTGGCTACAGACCACACCCTATCAGACCCTCCTAATGGGACATGGCTACAGGGACACCAAGCCCCATTGAGGCCATGGGCAGCGGGTTGTCCTGCAGTAGGATAGGCCTTTCCCTGAAGCCATCTCCCCTCCCAGTGAGCCACCCAGTGCAGGCCTCTGAGGTTAAGAGCTTCAGCTCAGGATTTGAGAGGGAGCAGAGCCAGAGGGGTGGTTGGATGAGTCAGTTGGATTAACTCCTGCTTGCCCAGGTTGCCTGCCAAGTTTGAAAGCCTGGAAACAGGTTGTGGATCTAAGAGAATCTAATAGAAAGAGAGATTCTGGGAAAAGTGCTGTCTCAATCCAGGTGGAATGGAAGAAGGGGTCAGCAGGGACCTCCCAGGCCAGACAGAGTAAGACCAGCCTGCTGAGTGGGAAGGTCATGGCCAAGAGTAGACATGCAACAGGACAGCTGAGGCAGGGTAGGCAGGTACAACCTGGGCAAAGAATAAGAAGGAAGAATATCAGTCACCTTCATAACACCTGCTCTCCCTTCCTTACACAGGACCATTTTCTGGGTTTTGCAGGAGAGGAGGGAGATCCAAAGGTACAGGACCTGGGTAACCAGTGCCTTGACTACATCTCTTAAACCTGGGCAAAGAAGGTGTCAGGAGAAAGATGTCTCATGGAGATGTGGAGACACAATGACAATGCACAGAGTGTCACTTAAAGATGCATACCCCTCTGCAGACAGTTCCCCAGGATCCAGATATTTGAGTGTCCTCTGTCACACCAAATAGGGGCGGAGCCCTGAGAAGCTAGAACCACTTGTACCCTGCCATGTTCTAGGACTAGGTAAACATCTGTCAACTGAATGACTGGGTGGACAGAGACTTTGACAGCCACAGACACTGGATCACAGCCATACTGCTCCAGGGGATACTCTGTTCTGCTAAGATATGATAAGCACCTGCACACTAACAAACAGATCACAGACAGGGCCCTGGGGACAAAAGCTGGAAAGACTGCACCTTCTTTCCACAGGCTTGAGGAGGCATCCGTGTGTGGGTATAGCAGGGCCATGGTCATCCATGCGTGGGTATAGCAGTTGGAATGAGCCATGTTCTTATGAACACTGAGGAGACTTCCCCAAGCTCTGCACACCCCACCCCTGACCAAACTCTAGCCTCCACCCTAGTGGCAGTCAGGGAAGGTTGAGGAGGAGAGAGGACAGCCCTCACCCTGAGTTGGGGGGAGCTTAGTTTAGTTCCAAAGGATGGCAGCCAATACAATTAGAGGCTTGGGACTAAGTACCTTCTCCATGCCTGTTACCATATTTAAGGTTTCTTTCCCGGATACCCTATAAGGAAGGATTTAGAACTCATTTTATAGATGGGACCGCTGAGGGCATGAGATGGGAAGGGAGGTCACAGTAGGTAAGGTTTGCCAAGTGCCTGGACCCAGCTGGATCCCTCTACAGGTAGCACCCTGAAAACAGCTTCCTGGGCCTCACTATTCCACCGTTTTTGCAGATGCTTGAGTATGGCACCATCTGGGAGATCCCAGATTTTCATAGAGCTCATGCTAGAGGTGGGGGAGTGAGCAGACACACACACACACACACACACACACACACACACACACACACACACACACACACACACACACACACAAATACAGCCACCCAGTTTAAGGTGCTCCCTGACACCCCAGCTCCAGGCATATGGAGCTGGAACTTAGCCATCCACACTAGTCCCTTGACCTCTCTGGCATCAGTTTCCTCCTTCAGAAATGGGTTGATAAGAGGGTTTGAGATGACCCAAGCAGACTCCTCGTGAGATTGGGCACAGGCTTTGTTGGAGTAGTCACTCACCCCCACAAAGTCATGGCTGGCAGCCTCAGTTTCCCCCATCAGGCTTTGAATGGGCTCAGCACAGCCTTCCCAGGGTGGAGTAGAGCGCTCCAGGGCGCAGAAGGTGGCACAGATGGGTAACGGGAGCACATCACGCTGCCCCTCTCAAGGCGCCTGTGTTGCTCACGTGGCTTACGTGGAGGGGCTTCCCAGGGCTGAGAGTACAGTGCAAAGTCAAATGCCCTCCACTGCCCATAAATGGCCTGCGTCTCCGCGCACAGGTGGCGGGGTCAGAATGGTCACCTCTCCCAGGGCAGGTCAATCTCTGAGGGGTCGCAAGATTCTTGCTGAGATGGGGAGCGTGTCCACAGATTTTCTGGGCCCCACCAGCCCCTGTCCTCCCATTCCTGCTCCCCAACCAAAGAGGAGATGGCAGGTGTCCTCCAAGACCCTCCGGAGGTCAGACTGCAGGTGGTCGGGGCAGAGAGACGGGCGGGCACTCACCCGGGCGGAGAGCGCGGGACGCGGCGCACAGGAGCAGGAACGCTGCGCCTAGACACGCGGCCACAAGCCTGCGCCGCCGACTGCAGCAATGCCTCCCCATTTCGTGCTTCCAGATGCCTCTTTCTAGGCAGGAATGTAGCCCTCCGCGTTGGGCAGAGGATAGTGATTCAGAGCCCTAAGACCCGCCCTGGGCCGGCTGTTCCCAGCTCGGCCGGATCCGCCCCCGGCGGCGCTTACCAAGGCTACATCGCTGGTGAGAGAGGGCTGTGTAGGCTGCGGCGGCCCGACCCCAGCCAGGGTCCCCATGACTGTGGGCCGCCAGAGAAGGTGAGATGGGTGCTGGCTGAGCACTCACTTGGCTCCCACGGGGGGCTCCCACCACTACTTGATAAAATGGAACCACAGACCCCAGCGTAGGGCGGACACTGGGGAGGGAGTCTCGACCTCTGGTGAGGCTCTGCCCTGTAGAGTTTGTCCTGGGTGCCATCCTCTACCCGAAGAGAAGTCCTGTTTACCAGGAGCCCAAGGGAGCAGTCTCCCTATCCTTGACTCCTCCAGCATCCCCACCCCTGGTGTCCGACACCAAAATGTCCCTTCCTTCCCCTAGAGCCGCCGGTAACTTAGCCTATAGGCCCTACGGTCCCGCCAGAATCCTGCTCATGCAGGTCCTGCCACTGTCTGGAAGGAAAGGTGGGGTCTAAGCCTTGTCTCCCTGTCACCCAAAACTGTTCAGGCCATCAGGTGAGCACGAGAACTTACTGAGGTCTCTTGGGGTGGCAGAGGGCAGTATCCTGATAATGAAGTCCAGCCTTTGAGAGATAAAGGAAGGGCTGGAGTGATAGAGACTTGCTGAACTTGTGTGAAGCCGTGCATCCCATCCCCAACAAGGAAAACATAAAAACCCAAAGGATAAACGCACCCAGCTAGTCCTGTGGGGTGAGAAGACCACTCCCCGACCCCATGGTGCTGCTGCCCAGGGGTCTGGCTGTCAGGGAACTAAGGGAACAGCTATTACTGTGTACATGTTTGAGCCAACATCCAGCAGCGTCCATGTGTGGTGTAGTGACCTTCAACTACAGTATTTAAACTACTCTTGAAAAATCCAGTGACTTCAAAACCTTCTGGTGCCACTTACTGCTGTGTGGTGTCAGGAAAGTTACTAACCTCTCTGTGCCCCAGTTCCTTGCACAGTGGGATAATATTTAAGCATCACAATGTTGTGAAGATTAAACAGGCCACAGGTGATGTTTGCAACTGTAAGTACGTGGAAGCACTTAATACTAGTAAATAATGTGTTGATGGTTCTCAAATGGCACGGGGTGGAAAGCCCAACTCACAAATAAAACATAAATTCCTTATGTGAGGCGTGGAGAACATCTGAAATCCCAGACTCTGAGAGGCTGAGGCGGGCGGAGCACAAGTTTGAGCTCATTTGGCAGTTTAGCAAGACCTTGCCTCAAAATAAAGTATTTTTTAAAAAGACTTTTTAAAGGTTCCTTATCATAACTCTCTCAGTTTGGAGAACCTCCAGCTCACCCCCAGCCTGGCCCAGGACTCAGAGATCGCGGGTTATGGGCATCCCTTGCCACCGGCCTGCCTTCCCGCGTTTGTATTCCCCAAACCCAGTCCCAACCCCTGGAGTCCTCCCTTCCTTGTGTTTTAGTTTTATATGCTGCCACCTGGTGGCCAAGGTTGAAGACAACATTTCAGCCTATCGCCGGGAAATGTCCCTGGAGAGCCGGCCCCTGAAGGCTCCCTAGGAAGATGGTGGGTCTTGGGGTGCGAGGGTGTAGATGCCTGACTAGGATTCCAAGACCTCAGTACTTCCTGGAGAAATTTCCCTCTGCGTCTTGATGTTCTTCCACCGGGACTGACGTTCTCTCCATTCATCCAGATACCGACATTCATTTTATGGGGAGGCTCCAGTGGAGTTCTCTAGAGTTAAATTATGTGTGGGGGCATAAAAATAGAAATGAATAGCTAAGATAGGTGCTATGAAGAAAATAAAGCTTGTTAAAGGGATGGGAAATGCATCTGATGTGATGAGAGCGGGAGGGTGGAGATGACGTAAGCGGAGGCCGGACTACAGGGAGGAGTAAGGCCCAACAGCTTTCAGACAGGTGTCTTCTGTGAAGTGTTAATTTTTTTAAATTCATTCAAATTTTTAATTTAATTTCTCAATTGTAAATAGCTCATTTAAAAACTAGGACATTTCACCAAAACTATTGGGGCTTCTGGCTTCTTTTGAGCCATCAGGTCATGAGGTCACCAGCAGAAGTGAACCCTAAAATGAGGGCTCAGTACTGTGAGCTTAGTAAGGATCTGCCTGCTTGGGGCTCAGGAAGAGAGACAGAAGGGAAGGCAGCCCGCCAAGACATGACACTGCCCTTGTGGGCAGGCCTGTTGGAACATGGGAGACCAGCTGTCTCCACAGCCATTACTGCCACCCCAGCTCCCCCTGAGGGCCGCCCTTGGGCAGGTGAGAAGGGGCTGCCAATTTCCCAGCCCTCTCCTTCTGCCCTCTGTGTAGGAAGAGGAAGTTTTGGAGCATGGTTGCTGGCTACCGGGGTACTGGCTGTATTCAGTGCTCAGGCTCAAGGGGGTACAACAAGGACTCCCTTGTCACTTGATTTGCTCCCAGGATCTACCTAAGTGCCTGGTACAAGGAGGGGCTCAGTCAACTATTTTGAAAAGATGGAGCAACAGGAGGCATGAAAGAAGGCAAGCCTGAGTGACATCTGCTGGCCCATTCTTCTAGGCAGCCTCCCTGTAGGTGATGCCTCAGATCCCAGTGGAAGAGATGTGAGAGAGAGAGAGAGAGAGAGAGAGAGAGAGAGAGAGAGATTTTCCTTCTCACTCAGATATTAAATAAATCATGTGCTGCTCATCAGATCATATGTGGAGTTTTCAGTCTATCAGCAACCAACTTTTTAGCATGATGTCCTTTTATTCAATGTGATTCCGTCTCTGCCCAGAGATTGCACTAGATCCCACCATTAAAGGCTCATTCCCACAGGATGACCCACTGCTTCAGATGCTAGTTGAAAAGCACAGGTTGTGACCTGTGCTTCTGACCTGGTTATAAACTGGGGCTCCTGTGAACCCCTCCTCAGGTTTGATTAATATGTTAATGACTCACAGGATTCAGGGAAACACTTGACTTGTGTTTACAGATTTATTATAAAGGACATTACCAAGGATACAGATAAACAGCCACATGGAGGAGATACACAGTATGCAGTTTGGAAAGGGGCAAGTCCACTTGACATGTACCACCACCCTCCAGGAACCTCCAAGTATTCAGCTAGTGAGAAGTTCTCTGTCCTTTGGGGGTTTTATGGAAGCTTCATTCACTGCCATGACTGATTACCTCATTAGCAACTAATGATGAGCTCAATCTTCAGCCTCTTCTCTGGAGGTTGGGGTTTGAGGTGGAAGTTCCCAGGCAGCCAGGTGCCTTTGGGAGCCCACCAGGAGTCACCCTGCTAGAGCAAAAGATGTTCCATCACCCCAGAAATTCCAAGGGATTTACTGAATCAGTGTCAAGAACTCTAGAGCAAATGTCAGAACAAAAGATTCTCCTGGTATTCCTGTCCACAAAGGTTTTAGAAACTGACAGAGAAAAATATTTTTTTACATCACAACATAACATCAATAACAGTCCCTCACAGTGTCCTAAGAGAACAGAAGCAGCCCAGAGGATGGCTAGAGCCAGACTTCTGCGTTCCAAGAGAGCTTGATCCAAGCTTCACCCCTACACCTCTCTCGACTTCAGTTTCCTCATCCATGAAATGTGACAGTGCACCTCTCAGAACAGGTGTGAGGGAGACGTGAACTGCCTTGTCATGTGATATGCTCAGAGAAGCAAATCCTTAGAGGTGGAAGATGTCATTCACCTTCTCCGGCCCCTCCTGTCCACTGCAGCCTAAGCACTTGTGTAGGTTGAACAGGAACCAGAGATCCCAGGGCAGATCAGGAGCGAAGCTGAATTCACACCCAGATGTTGCTTTCCAGGAATGCTAGGATTCAACTGTGGTCACTTCCTGGCTGCGTGAGACCTGGCCCTCCATTTCCCTCCCTAGCATAGGGCTGATGAGGAATACTTTCTTGCAGTATGGTCCATGGGTTAGTGTATGAGGGCTGTCCCACAAGTGCTACATGACAAATTGCTTTGGGACCGGAATGGAGTACCCTGGAACACCATGGGAGTTGAAAGAAGGTATACAAGATTGGGGGTTGAGTCCCAACTCACTGCCACCCAGGCACCCTCCCTCTTAGGTGGCAGGGAAGAGATGTACAAGGAACACTGGTTTCTGCACAGATTCTGTGCTGAGTTCCATGTCACATGGTTCCCCATTATCAGGACACAAGTTCCAGTACTGTCAGCCTATCATAACCCCAAGAACCTGCCAGAGCAAACTCCAATAGTAGAGCTCCACCAGCTCCCCAAATCATATCCTAAACATAAGCTCCTGTAGGTCACCCATTTGAAGCATGAATGGGCCCCCACCTGGCCCAAGTCTCCCAGCAGGGAGCCTGCCCCTCCCCCCAAATCAACAGTCCTGTCAGCCAGCCAGTGACCCAAGGACCTGACCCTGTGACCCTCACGTGGCTCCTTCCACAGGCTCAGGGCCCAATGAGGGGCTGGAGGAGGTGGCCCTGGGGCTGGAAGTCCCCATCCTGCTGACTCCTGATTGTTCAGTGTACTCCCAGCCTCCCCACGGTGCTGGTCTCCACTTCAATCTCAGCAGACATGTCCAACCTCCAGGTGCTGTGCTCCGGCCTGCCCTTGCAGCCCCTCCCACAGAACCGGGGACGCCTGGCTGGGGTGCCTCATGCCCCTGTCAGGATCCCCGGCCTCAGCCCTGCAGAGGAGCAGGTAAGAAGCCCAACTCATGTCTCCTGGAACCTGGTGTCTTCTAGGTACCCTCCAGTAGCGCAGGCAGGTTTGGAATTACAAACCCCATTTACAGATGAGGAGGCCCTGAGGCTCAAGGTCACCTAGATAGTAAATGATGGTGGTGTGGCCACCACTCATGGGAGGAGGAACCAGGAAGTTGTAAACTGGCCCAATTCCAGCAAGGAGCATAAAATGTGTACCTTGCCCAGGCCAAATACCTGGCCGACTTTCGTGTTCTGTGGTCAGCAAGTCAGCTCTTATTTCCCTTTGTAAAGATCCCTTCCCCAGCTGAGTGCATGTGTACAGCAGCTGTCACCCTGCTGGGGGAAGGGTGAGCGTTGGAGAGAACTGCAAACCAGGCAGCCTCTTGTCAGCTCACCCCATTTCACAGCCAGGGCATAGATCTAGGTGAATGGGTGCACATGCCAGTGGTCCAGAAGCTGCTCTACCCTGGGACAAGTCACTGTCCTCTGTGGGGCTGGCTTTTCTCATTTGTAAATGGGATGAAAATGCTTTAACACAGCTGTGCAGAAGACTAAAGGAAATAAAGCAGGTGACATGGTTATGTAAGTTTTCTACCTACTTTTTCTTTATTGAGAATTTCAAAAATAATGGAAGAAAATAGAAAATACCAATACAACAAAGTTTTAAAGATGAATCCTAATCATAGTGGCACATGTCTAGAATCCCAGTACTCTGGGAGGCTGAGGCAGCAGGATCACAAGTTGCTCTGTCTGAGAAACTCAGGCACTTAGATCCTGTCTCAAAGTTATTTAAAGAAAAAAAAAAAGCTAGGGATGTAGGATGTAGCTCAGTGCCAAAGTCCTGGGGTCAGTTCCCATTAATGCACACAGCAATTCCACCACTCTCAGACAGACTACTGTTTTGTTTTGTTTTGTTTTTTCAGCTTTAATTGAGTTTATTGGTATATTTTAGGGATACAGTACGGTTACATTCATTGTTGGGATCTTTTACTTCTACATGACAAGTCTTGGTTCTCATTTTTTCCCCTTGTCCCTGCCCTCCCTTCACCCTCTCCTCCCCTCCCCATCTACAAACACTTTATTTCCATCTTTTCGTTATCTCACATTTTTTTCTTTTCCCTTATTACCCTTCCCCTACCCATCCCACCTTCCCTACACCCTGAGTGACAATACCCTAGACTTTCCCCTGAACGCTGCCTGGGAAGGTGGAGGAAGGGCTTGTTTGGGAGTTGATGAAGGAGGGGTGGGGGAATAGTCAGGCAGGGTGGAGCTAGGAAGTGGCCAGGAAGGGTGGGGGCGGGTAACAGGAAGAGACACTGGGGGGAGGAGGTCCTCAGAGTATGGGCACTGGTGGACAGTTAGGGAGGGGTGGAGGGGAGAAGGGGCTCAGTGGATGTTGAAGCAGTGGTAAAGGTTCCTTCCCCTTGTTTGCCTCCCTGCTGGTTGCCTCCATTTAGTCACCAGGTCTCTCACAGAAGGCTATTTGCCCCTCTCAGTGACACAGCTGTGGCTGTGAGACAGTGATCAGCCTCTAGGCAGCCTGTGGTAGCAGAAGGACACCCAGGAGCAGAGGCTGCCACCTCTGCTTTACTTACAAATGTTGCCTTTTGTTTGAAGGATAGGGAGCCCTTGGGGCAGATTTCTGGGAAGTTGGAGCTGGGGAAGGAGCCACATCTTGCCTCTGGATGTGGGGGCTGATTAGCCTTCAACTGGTCCCCCAGTCCAGTGACCCCCTTATTTATTAATAGCAGTCCCTTTACATGCTGTCCTTTTTTCTTTTCTTTTAAATGTGTGCCTTCACCAAAGGCTAGTGTTCTCCGTGTGCAGTCCTGGGCCCCTGTCTCTCCTGTGTCCTCCTGGCTGTCCACAGCCCACGTAAATTTCCCAGCCTCACAGCAGCTCTCTCTTAGTTAGACATTTGTTGTGTGAGTAAGCAAATTCGCCATACCTAGTTCCTTCTCTCCCTCACCCCAGAGCAGCTGGTTAGCCACAGTTAGCTGGTTGAGTAAGTGGTCATGATGTTCATCCAGAGACCTGGGCATCTCCCAGAGCCCCACCCTGACTCATCTGGTCCCAACCCATGCTGCAAATTGACTGGGCCTGACAGGCCTCAGGGCCTCCTGCAGCCTATAAGACACAAGAAGGAAACAAAGACATTGCAGGCCCTATGTCGAAAAGCTCTGCAGAGAACCAAAGGTGGGAAGAAGGAGGCTAGACTCTGAGGCTGAAGTTGGGGCTTTGGGTATGGCTTGGCGGATGAATGCTTGCCTAGCAGGCACAAGGTCCCAAAGTCCATCCTCAGTACTGCAAAAGAAAGGAAAGGAGGTGGGGGGAGAAGGAGGAGAAGGAGGAGAAGGAGAAGGAGGAGGGGAGGAGGAGGAAGAGGGGAGGAGGAGGAGAAGGAAGGAAGGAGACAAAAAGATAGGCAGGCGAAAAGAAAAGTAAGGCCAAGACTGATCTGTTCTAACATAGAGAGAAGTTTGGGGGATAGAAGCATAAGTGCAAAGGCCAGGAAGCCCAACTTGAAGCATCAGGGGCCTGAGGGAGAACAGTGATTGGACAGCATGCGGGTTTGGGTTGCTTTCTGTGGTTGGGGTAAAGAGCCCTCGAAGGGGCTCTCTTTTCCCTCAGCCTCCTGTCCCCTGTCCTCGGGCTCTATCCAGGTCTCCTAGAAGCTACAGGTGTGTGTTGCACACTGCCAGCCTCCAAACTCCTACCTAATCTGGGCACTAGGTGGAGGTTGCTTCTGCACTTGCATAAAGTGTCAGCTTTCCTCCTCCTCCTGAGGCTGCATCCCCCTGCATCAAGCCACAAGACTCAGGCCCCTCACTGGCTGTGCCTCAGGCCAAACCACCTAATCCTGGGGCTGGCGCTGGTCCATAATGAGCAAGAAGAGAAAGGTCTAGGTCCACCTTCCTGAAGGCAATGGGGCAGCAATCAGGGAAGGCCTCCAGTGGCAGTGGAAGGCAGCAGTGCAGATGGGCCCGGAGTGCCAACCAGTTGGTCTCAGAATGGATCAGTAAATGGCTGAGTGGAGCAGAGGATGATCCAAGTTGCGGGGGAGGACAGCCCAGCATAGAGGAATCCAGGCCTGGACATCCCTGTTCAGCTGCCTGTCACATCCTCCTTTTCTCTCCAGTTGGCACTGAAGAATGCCCTTCGCTACTTCCCACCTGATGTCCAGAAACTACTGGCCCCTGAGTTTGCCCAGGAGCTGCAACTCTATGGGCACATCTACATGTACCGGTTCTGTCCCAGTATTGAAATGAGGTGAGCACTGGCAGACATGATTTAAAGCAGGCTGTGCTAAAGATCAGGAAACTGGGCGAGTCCACAGCCAGGAAAATCTTGTCTGTCAGAGTTAGGGGCCACCTGGAGGAGTCATAGCAAGCTGATTTCCTCCCTCGGGGAGATGATGGTGGGAGAGGAAGGTGGGCTGTCATCCCTGGGGTCTGGAGCTGAGAGCTGCAGGCAGCCACCAAGCCTGGCCAGAAGATGGAGACCCTTCGTGGAACAGGTCTCTCTTGTCTGGCCCCCTCGACCTGAGCAGTCCATCCTGCAAGATACTGGAGCCAAAATGTATACAAAATCCCTTCAGAATACTTAGCTTGAGACAGGGTCTAAGTAGGCTGAGCTGGAACTTGCAACCTTCCTGTTTCATCCTTCAGGAGTGCATGTGCCATCACATCTAGCTAGGTAGAGGCTTTGTGAAGGTACATTTCAGCTCTGCTTTGCCGTCAGCTTTCTCCTGGGTAACACTTGTCAAGTGGTGAGAGACAGTGGCTGGGGAGAGTGAGCTGTGAGTTCCCTGTGCCTGGCCATGTGAAAGCTCACACTACCTGAGCACCAGATGGGTGGGCCTTAGTATATAATTAGTACCAGACAGGTGGGTGCCTGTGCTGAGGCCCCTCGCAAGTCCTGCCAGTGCCACGTCTCATTGTCCATACCTGTGTGGCCAGACACTCTGGCTAGGGTGCCTTCTGCAGTTTAGCAGGAAGGAAAGTCTGACACCTTTCCACTGCCATGCTTGGAGCCTAGACTTCCTCTTGCAGGGCCTACCCAATCGAGCAGTACCCTTGCCGGACAAAAGCTGCTGCAGCCATCATGCACATGATCATGAACAACCTGGATCCTGCCGTAGCCCAGGTAATGGCTGGGGAAACTGTTCCAAGGCCCAGCTCTACTCAGCACAAACGTAGCATGAGACACACGTGTGATGTTTTCAAGCTTTCAATTTACTTACAGATTCACCAACATTATAAAAACTAGTACAGGTTGTCCCCATACCCTTATCCTGGCTTCTCTTTAATGGTTACCTCTTCCGGAACTCTGGAACAACTTCGAAACCAGGACATCAACACCAATGTAACACATATACCTGTAATTTTAAAGTTTCTTTCTTTTCCATGTTGTTATTTTTGTTTTGTTTTGTTTTTACTGTACTGGGGACAGAACCCAGAGCCTCAGAGCCTCACACATGTAAGGCAATGCTCTACCACTGAGCTGCTAATCATCACATGAAAAGGTAAGAAACAGATTTTATACTATACTTTACTTATCCTAATATATCATAATAAATATAAAATTATTAAAGAGCTATTTTTCACACTGTCTTTGAAATCATAGTGTATTTCTCAAGTACAGCACTGCTCAGTTGCCTGAGGCTGGTGGCTGCCATACTGGATGGCATGGATACGACACTATGTGCCTGACGTGGGCGTCCTGTGACAGTCTGTATCAGTTACTCATATTTGAGAAAGGGTCACCTCTAAGAGTAAGTCCCAGAGTTCCTTGAAGGCAATATGTTGCTAGCATTTATCTAATTTGTCTAACAAGAGAGAACTTGTCCTGGACCCAGACTCTGGCCAGACTAGCTTTGATATTAATCTCAGCCCAAGTTCCCAAAGTGATCCCAGACCCATCTCTGACCCTGGCCCCAACCAGACCCCTTACCCTAGCCTCAGAGAAGCCAGTGTTCTTGCAGATATAGTTGTCCCTGGGCCTCATGCTTCTTGCTTCTCCCTCTTTCCCTGTCTTCTTCCCTGAATGAGACCAGCCAAGGGGCTGAGGGTCCTTCTTCTTCCTGTCCCCATGGCCATTCCTAGGCCCTCTTTTCAGATGACACCATGTCATTTTCAGTTTCCCCAGGAGCTGGTGACCTATGGAGGAAATGGACAGGTCTTCAGCAACTGGGCTCAGGTACAGTAGCTTTGTGGATTCATCCCTACCTCCCTCAGCCTAGGAGGAAATGAAAAATCTAGGGATCTGCTTAATGCATGCCCAAGGCTCCCACACTGGAGGCTATTTGGGATGTTGCCATTATAAGAATAAGTGGGAATGATGTTATTAAAGAACCCAGAAGCCAGAGAGTATGACAGAGATCTGGAAGAGAGCCACTGGGCAGGACAACCCCAGGGCCTGAAAGGGGTCTCTAGTCCTGGGCATAGCCCAGAAGACCAAGGGTGGGGTGCCCACTTATGCTTACAGAGCCTTTCATGCTTGCTATCTCTTCAGTTCTGGCTGACCATGTGCTACTTGTCGAAGATGACTGAGGAGCAGACTCTGGTCATGTACAGTGGACATCCACTGGGCCTCTTCCCCAGCACCGCTGGTGCTCCACGGCTGGTCATCACCAACGGGATGGTAGGTCAGAGACAGTGGGCACCGTGCTTGCCCAGGGCTCAGGCCAAGGAGAGGGGATTGTGGGGGCAGGGAGGCTAGCCAAGTGCCCCTGAAACTGTTCAGGAATCATTTCCTAGGGCTCCAAGCTTGTGGCCCAGCCCCTGTCTATTCCCTCCCTCTTTTCTAGGTCATTCCCAACTATTCCTCCAGGACAGAGTATGAAAAGCTCTTTGCCTTGGGAGTTACCATGTGAGTCACTATTTTAGTTTATTAATATGGCATTTCTTTCCTAATCATACTTAACTTTAAAACAAAATGGTAAGTATTAAATATAATTTTTGAAAAACACAATCATAGCACTGTAGCATAATAATTTCAGTTTTTACAAATTCCCTAGTATTTTTGTGTAAATTCTTACATTTTTAAATACATCTAAGCAAGAGAACATACACCTTTGGATTCTACCTTTTTCAAAGACCTTGTTATGAGCAATTTCAAACATAAAGAAAACTAAAAAAATTTTTAGGGAACATCATCAAAATTCTGTAATTAATATGTTACCAGGCTTACTTTAGTACATGTTTATCTCTCTGTCTCTCTCTCCATCCATCCATTCAGCTTTCTTTTGGGAATGTCTCAAGGTAAGTTGCAGATATTACTGAAAGGATCTCAATGTTTGTTTAGATTTTTCTCTTGAAGTGGTATTTGTGTGTCCACTTGGTCCTCAATATCTATGGGTGCTACATCCTCATATCCAACCAACTATAGATCAAAAATAGTATATTTGAAACAAAAATCTGTGCAATAAACATATGCAGACATTTTTCTCTTCATTATTCCCCAAACAACACAACAACCCTTTACATAGCATTTACATTGTGTTGGGAATTGTATAACCTAGAGGCGATTTAAGAGGAGGTGCCAGTGATATACCATTTGATATCACTCGCTCCATGTGTGAGGATTTTGGTGCCCACTGTGACCCTGTAATGAGATGCGCACATCCCATATGCCCCATGCAATGGGCTTAACGCACTGTGCACCTGAGCAGCTCCATCCCTGCCCACCAGGTACTAGTGCCCTGGAGCACTCCATCTAGTGTTAAAGATTTTTGTTTGTTATAAAGTTGATCCATGTTCTGAATCAAAAACTTTCATCAAACATAGAAAAATGAACTGCAGTAAAAAAGAAAGCCCTTTCTTGCCTCAGACCCCTCAGACAAATGTCTGCTGTGTGCTTCCAAATGCTCTTCGTGTGCGTGGACTCGTGATGCAGGTAACTGACGTGGCCTCTGCACCTTGCCATTCCTCACCTGCCAGTGCAGCTTAAAGATTGTTCCATTGCAGGAAACACAGATCTACATATTCTTCTCACTTGACCCACAGTGCTAAATTTCACCATAATCCATTTAGCCCACTCACCTCCTGATTAGGGCTTTTCCGGTTTTGGGGTGCGATAACTAATGTTACAGTGACTGTTGTCCTCTAGTATAATTTTGTGGGTTTCTAGAAGTTTCACTCTAGGATAACCACTATGTAAAGTGCAGCCAAGGGGAGTCCATGAATCAGCCTCTGGATAACACTTTGTATTATAATCCTGACAATAGGCGCCACCATTTTATTGTACCAGGATTGATAGATGACGTTATATTCAACCTTCTGTGCAATTTTTGGAAATAGATATCTTTATTAACCCATTCTGTGGGGAAAGAAACTTAACTCAGAAACCCAGTTAATATTTTTTGTTGACCATAAGTAGCTGCTCTTGCTACTTTTGTTTTTAACATTGCTAGACCTGCAAGACCTTTTTGTGCCAGTGGAAGCCACTATAGGGTCACAATGATGGGACTCCATGTCCTGGCCCACTGCTTCACAACTGTGACCTTAGGTGAGTCACAGTGTTTCTCTGTTTAGCCGATGCAAGATGGAAGTTCAAAGAGGGCAGAGTCAGACAATATGAGAATTTCAGAGCTCCAGTGGCACAACTGGTCAGCAATGGTACTAATACAAAATGAGAATTGTCAAGAGAGACAGAAAAAGATTTAAATACATAAGTGATCTGAGAAATACTAATTACAGCTAAGTCTTTGCACTATTAGTATGACACAACTGAAACCACAGAGACTACCCAGTGCTGGAGAGGATGTGAGGAAACAGGCAGATACAGATCGTGGCTGGACGTCTGAATCAGTACAGCGAGGCTGGGGATGATTGGAAGAGGTGCCCCCACCCCAGCCATGAATGTCAAATTTTCATGTGTATGAACATGATGTCCTCATTTTACCGCTAAGATTTACTGGGTAGCACTAAGGATCTCAGTCAGTTCCTGGCCCTGCCATGGGTCCTTGTGCAACCTTGAGTCTTGGGTCTCATCTGTGCAGAGGGGGCTATTAATGACTCCTGTATCTAAGTGTTGTATGGAAATTAACGAAGTGATAAAGGTGACCTCTTCAGCACCATGACCCAAGGGCCAAGTGAATGCAGCCCTAGCAGGGAGCACAACCCAAAAAGGGATTCTATGTGGCCCTGGTGGGGTCTGATGGTATCACCTGATGGATGTTTATTATATTAACATTATTCTCTTATGTTTGTAGTATTTATGCCACCTCTCTGGGTAAAGGAAATATAACCTTATTTTTAGAAGAGAAAACAAGAGGTTCTGAATAGTCAAGTGCTCTGCACGTTTATGTGGTAGGCTTGGTACTAAGACACAGGAATGTGAGAAGACATCCTTAATCCAGAAGAGAGAAGGGGCTGGGGAAATCTCTAGGGGGCAAGAATCTAACACAAGAGATATGAACTTGACATTTTCAAGGGAGAAAAATAAACATCAGTACTCTCAAGAGTATCATGGTCAGGGACTAGGGATTTAGCTCAGCATCACCACACCTGCCTCACAAGTTCAAGGTCCTGAGTTCAATCCCCAGTACCAGGGGTGGGAAAATGTCACTTCTCAGCTTTTTGGCTAAGATCCAATGAAGAGTGTCCTAAAAAACTAAAAAGAGTGTCCTGGTCTTCAGGCATCAGAAAATGCCACCTTTCCCCATCACACTGTCAAAAATTTATATGTTTGGTCATTATCAAGTGATGGAAATGCCATGCTTATGCCTTGGTGACAGTCACTTAGGATTTGGTTTCTATTAATATTTAAAGTGTTTGTATCTGATAACCCAGGGGCCCCTCCTTTGTTTCTACCCTGGAGGGCATGACAGACACAGGTTCAGGTAACCAAGTATGGGTTATACTGCAGTTGTTCATATAGCAAATCCAAAGCCATCCTGACTACTAGGAAGGCAAGTAAAGAACATTCAGAGATTCTCGAGGCTGGATGCCATGAAACCATGAAGAGAAATGAGTGGGGGCCTCTGTGTGCTGATGTGGAAAGAACCAACCCTATGGTGGGGTCCTGGGGGCAAAACAAGCTGCAGAAGCAAGATTTGCAGAGTGAGGCCATTCAGGTAAATGTTCAGAATGACACCAGCAACCTCTCCGGCAAAACGACACACTAAGTGTCACCCACTGACAGTCAATGGGCAGCAAGGTCTGCAGATCTGAAGTGTAAGGCTGGATGAATTCTGAAAAATGTGTGTACCCTTGCCACAACCAACTGATGAGGTCTGCCCCACTGTACTCCCCATATCCCCTTTTAATAGGAAGGCTCCTCTGAAGGAAGGCTATCTGATGCCACCTGAGTGGAATTCTACAGAGTATGCTCTCTCCTACCTGGTTCCTTTACTGGGTCACATCATACGTAATCGGGTCTCAGCTCTCCTTCTCTGCCATACTGTACTTCATCGTGTTCTTGAGCTGGAACTTGCTTCTCTTTTCTTCTATGGATGAACATTTCAGATGCTTCAGATTTTGACCAGTGCCCATAAATTGCTATGAACTTTCGTGTGCATGTCTTTACATGGGCATTAGCATGTAGCATGAGTGTGCTGGACCCTGTTCAGGTATAGTCTGTATTCCCCAAAGTGACATATTCTTTCTTATTTTTTTTTTTTGGTACTGGGGATCGAAATCAGGTCCTTGTGCTGGCGAGGCAGGTGGCAGAACCACTGAGCCAAATCTCTGGCCCCCAAAGTGACATTTTCTTAACCAATTACATGTCAATGTTTTAAAAACCTAAAATCTGTTTGTAAGTAGTCTGGGAGGCAGGAAGGGGCCAAAACTGAAGGGCCTATTACATTCTCTCCTTTAAAAAAAAAGAGAATAAAGGAATGCCTTTAGGGGTAGTTAAAAGTTCATTTTCAAGTTGCTGAAGTAGGGATTGGGAGAATCCATGCCTGCAATCTGCTCAGCTTTCTGCTTGGCTCGCTCTCTCTGTGGTCAGGTATGGCCAGATGACAGCAGGCAGCTACTGCTACATTGGTCCCCAGGGAATCGTCCATGGCACAGTGGTGAGAGACCGACCACAACTGGCTGAGAGGGTGAGTCCTGGGAGGTGGGTGTGGCAGGAGAAGATAGTGAGTACCTGGCCTCCTCTGCCTGTAGCTCACTGTGCTGAATGCTGCACGTCGGTACCTGGGCGTCGAGGATTTGGCTGGGAAAGTCTTCGTCACCTCTGGGCTTGGTGGGATGAGCGGGGCTCAAGCCAAGGCTGCAGTCATTGTGGGGTGCATTGGCGTGATAGCAGAGGTGAGTGGCAGGAGCTTTTGCCTTTGTCCCTCCCTCCTTCCCACTCTCCCTTCCTTTCAAAGCTGCCCACACCCATGCTTCTCTTCACATCTTCTCTCACCCAGCTGTCCCTCAAGCCCTCCACAAACCCCTGCTCAACCTCCCTGGGTGGGTTTGCATTGTAGCACATGCTTCCTCTTTTCAAAGTGTCCATCACCCTTCGTGGTCAGTGCCTATTGACTGCCCTTCCATGCACCTGTGAGCATCCATTTATGGGACACTTCCCTATATCCCGCCAAACCCCTGAACTCTAGGTGGGAGAGAAAAAATGTTCATGAATAAATGAGTATGGGCTCCCCCAACTTGAACAGTACAGAGTCAAGTGGAAGAGGCAGACAAGTCACTCTTCAACAGAGGGGTGTGTGGATGCTTCACCTTCAGTGCCCCTCACACCTCCCTTTAGTTGGTGCCAAGGACAAGAAGAGAAGCAGAATGTTGAGGAACTTGGGAGCTTTTGGATAAGCTGTGGGGATATTAGCCAGTGTAATTTGTACCTAGTTGACATTAATTCTGTGTCATACATGCTTATACTTGTTAGGGATAAGTTGGGCTGCAGGTAATAGAAAATGTGTCTATAGTGACTTATGTAAATGTGGTTTTATTTTTCCTACATAACTAACAGTACCAGCATTTCAACTGCTCCATGATGTCGTGTTGAACATCTCTAGATTCTACCAGGTTTTCTGCATGCTTACAAAATTTCTGCCCAAGCCCAAGCCATCCCATCCACATTCAAAGCAGGAAGAAGTAAGAAGGGAAATATCAGCTGACTCACTGTTTCAGGAAGAAAATCATGTCTCAGAAACTCCTTTTATCTCATTGATCAGTCTTGGATGAGGTGGATGTTCTTACCTACAAAGGAGAATAAGAACAGTACACAGATTGCTGTAATTAATTTGAATGTGGTTTATCTGCTGCAGCTGAATAGTGTCATCCATCCTGAATGAAGTCTCGTTTCTGGTAGCAAAGGAGATAAGAAGTGGAATTAGTAGAGTAAAGGAAGCTCACAGTGCCTGCCCCAAGACTGTGTTATAAAAGGGGTGGTCTATGTAGGGGACAGTACCTAAATAGTGGACTGCGATGTACTCAGGACAACTTGTAACAAGTGGCTCTGTGTTTCATGGCCCCAGGTTGATAAAGCAGCTCTTGTAAAACGCCACCAGCAAGGCTGGCTGATGGAAGTGACTGGAAGCTTGGACCACTGCATTGAGAGACTCAGGTAGAGCTTCTGCTACCAGCATGCTGAAATGGGAGACCATGAGAAGAGGGCAGGAGGCAGGGCTTCTTTGCAAGGGGCTTTTTGATAATTGGTACTTGGTTACAGGTGGGCACTGCACCACATGCTAAGCCAGAGGTCTTCCTGCAGAAATGTCACATAAGGGACCCTATTTTCTCACCAGTTATTGTTTCGAATGGATAGGAGATCGGTCCATGTGTATCCTCAGTGGTGGCCACATGGCCCTGATGGGTTCACTGCTCAGCCTCAGTTTCATGAAGGGTTGTTATGTGATTCTCACTATGTGGTCTCGGGAACCTGGCACATGATGAATGCTCACCTGTTTACCTGCTCACCTGCTCACTTTTTAGGAAGTGCCTGTTGGAATGGCACCCCTCCCATGGCTCCATGGGCTCAGCGGGGCAGATCTTACTCTCACTGTGCTGACTGCTTGTGTTTGTGGCTTGGTGGTGGCACTTCTCCTCCCACTTGATGTCTTCAGACATATTTAGTGGAGATATAATGGAGATAGCCTGCTTGGGCCCTAAATTTGAAGAAACCCAAAGCTTTGAAGAGCAGAGTCTTGTTTGGGGCACTGGTTCCCCACCATGGCTCCAGTGAGAATTACCAAGGGGAGCTTCCAAGTTGTTTATACATGAGAAATAACACAGTGACTTTCCAAATACACCCATTATTCAGAGCACACCCTACCTTTTTCCATTAAGTTTATTGGTACATTTAAGGTAAATAGTACAGTTACATTCATCTTGGGGATGTTGTACCTTTACCTGATAGATCTTGGTTCTTATATTTTCCCTATTCCCCTGCCCTCCCTTCACCCACTTCACACTTCCCTATTTATGAAGACTCTGTTTCCATTTTTCCCTTTTTCCATATTTCTGTTTTCCCTTATTTGCTTTCCCCCACCCTTCCCACTTTCCTTACTCCTTTAGGCCTTTTCTTCCTATTTGACATTATCTGACATTATCAATTATACCATTTGAACCTTATGGATACACCCTATTTTAGAATAGATGTTTCTAAAATATCAGTTTCTCCACAGTACATCCCTATTTAAAACTCTTAGAGATGCCAGCACCTACCAAAAAACCTGACAAAACCAAAACACACCTCTCAGATACCGGTTAATTATAAGTGAAATTCTCCAACTCCAGGTGTGGCACCAAGAGCTTGGCAGATGTAGCTCTGGTCCAGGTTTCAGGCTGTGCATCTTGAGCATGTGCGCACACACACACACACACACACACACAAATGCATACACACAACCACAGACATACATACACATAAACACATACATCCACACATGTATGCACACACACACAATGTGCACACACATACAAAGCTAAATCAGTTTGAAGGACCGTCTTGGGTACTCGGTCTACTCCACTGTAAAGAATGAGCAGAGGAAGAACCTGATGGAGATGCAGTTAGTCTCCCATAGACTTTCACTTCCTGTGATTCTCCTTCCTGGAACTTTCATGATCCGCAGTGGCCTCCATCACTGCTTTGAGATGTGTCCTTTTCCTGCTTCAGAAACATGGCCCTCTTTTTTTTTCTTTTTTTTTCTTTTTTTGGTATTGGTACCAGGGATTAACCACAGAGTGCACTGAGCTAGATCCCCAGGCCTTTTTTATCCTTTAATTTTTTTTTTTAGGCAGAGTCTCACTAAGTCAATAAGTTGCCCAGATTGGGCTCAAGCTTGTGATCCCAGCATGCTAGGATTGCAGGTGTGCACTACTACACCTGGTTTGGCTGCCCCTCCTGAGTGCAAGGATGTGCCTGGCTCCCACAGTCTTCTTTCTTTCCAGCCCAATTTGCAGTTAATCTACATACCCAGCAGGGCCACTCTGACCTATTTTGGTTTTTGACCACCCACAAATTCTATTTATTTCCATCCTCTGTTCACCAAAATAGATTCTGATGCTGCTGCTTCTCCTTTTTTTCTCAAATAAATTTGAGAGTCCTCTTTAGTGAATAATTTCAGGATCCCTGGAGTGAGTTCTATGAAGATGCTGATTCTGACAACCATAGCCCTGATCCTGTGAATCTTCTTAGGAAGAGTTATCACCAGCGTGGGGCTAGTTTTTCCATCAGGAGCATTCATTTCTGCCTTTTTCTCTTATGGTTTTGCATCCTGAACAGGAGATGCAGTCATGAAAGTCCATACTTCACAGGGCTCGCACTCACACACAATCCTCTTGGTGGCCTCCTAGCACATCTCACTGTGAGATGATAGGAAGCAGGCTTGTCAGGATAGTTGTGGACAGATGTGGCAGAGCCATCTGTTCTGCTTTTGTGTCCTTCTAGGGAAGCAAGGAAGAAGAAGGAGGTACTCAGTCTTGGTTACCACGGCAATGTAGTGGACCTTTGGTAAGTAGTTGGCTGGGAGTTGGTAGTATTGTGGTGCCCAGGTGAGGCCCTCCCAGCAAACCTCCTGACCCTGACCACGTACTTCCAGGGTGCAAACTTTGAGCCTCAGCCCTGAACCACTTTGGACAGCCCCATGCCCACTCATACCCATGACAGCCTTCCTATCAGTGTCCTTTCCAAGATATGGGTGGGAAAATGGGCTGCAATCACCACCTGGCTGGCCCCAGCCTAGGTCTCATACCATTCATGCCCTACTTCTCCAGGGAGCGCCTCGTCCATGAATTGGACACCACAGCAGAGCTCTTAGTAGACCTCGGGTCAGACCAGACATCCTGCCATAACCCATTTAATGGTGGCTACTACCCTGTGCAGCTCAGCTTCACTGAGGCCCAGCACCTCATGGCTTCCAACCCACCTGCTTTCAAGGACCTAGTGCAAGAAAGGTGAGGGTAAGCCCAGGGCTGCTCAGAGTGGGAAGAACAGAACCTTCTGATCTTGGCAGCATACTTTGCCTGACTCTGGCTGAAACCTGGTTCTCAAGTAACTAGCTGTGTGAACCTGGGCAAAGCCTTAACCTGTCCAATCCTCTGCCTCCTCCTGTCTGACAATCGTGAACACATATTCCTCCTGGAAAGACTAGGGAGATTTGAAAAATCTACACAACTTTGGACTTAAATCAGCCTTTTCCATCTTTTCTCCCCAAGGGCCAAAGTGGGTTGATGAGCAGTAAATGTCTGTGTATAGTGGCTGCCAGTTAGGTCTTGAAGGATACAGAGAACTTTAATAGATGGTGGGGTGGGAGCGTGATCACAACAAGTTTGGGAGGAGAAGCAGAGGGCTCTCTAGGCAGTGGGGTGGAAGCCATCAAAAGGCTGGATGGAGTGGGGCTGGATGGAGTGGGGCTGGGAGTCTGCAGTGGAGCACCAGTGAGTGGGGATGACTTACCTTCTTGTTGTAGCTTAAGAAGACACATCTCAGCTATCAACAGACTGGCCAAAGAAAAGTTCTTCTTTTGGGACTATGGCAATGCCTTCCTTTTGGAGGCACACAGAGCAGGTAGGTGGAAGAAAGGCTGAGAAGCTCCACTCACTGCTGCCTCATATTCACCTACTCTGCCAGAGGATTGTCCGGAACTTCACAGGGGAGGCTTCGCTGTGCCCCTGAGCAGGCACTCCTTCTGCAAGCTGACCTTGCTGGGTGGCTGGGAATCTCACGTTCTCAGTTTCTTCATGTATAGGCACAACACTCAGGAATGAGTTCCAGTGTCAAACTATGCAACTCTCCTTTTCTAGATGAAAACTTCTTTCTATAATACATCAAATGCATTCCCAGAGTAGAAAGTCCATGAGGTTGACAGAAGAGTCTCCCTCCAAGCCCGGCCTCCTCCCTGGGCATTGATGCTCCAGTAGGCCGCTAGAGACAGGCACTGAACACACAGGCAAACATGTCCGTGCCTTGCACCCAGGCCACATGAATGGTAGCATGCCATTAACAAGGCTGCATTCTGCTTTTGATCCTCTTCTTTTACTTAAGGAAAAAACATCTTGCTGGTTGGTTGGTTGTTTAGATCACTATTTGGGGTAGCTGTGTGGGTCCTCACCTTGAGCTGTCAATTCTGTCCACAGGAGCAGATGTAGCAAAGAAGGGTGCCAGAAAGACAGAATTCCGTTACCCCTCATATGTCCAACACATTATGGGGTAAGTGATGGCGATAGCTGATGGTTGTGGGATACCTAGTACCATTTCTATCCCTTTCAGGTCCTGAGACCTGGCACTCAGGTCAGAAAAGTCTCAAACAATGACCACCACTGAAGTCATTCATGACATCCTCACATGACCTCAAAGTGGTCAGGTACAGGGTCATAGTATTGCCACCAAAATACTGGCAAAGAGAAACTAAAAATGTGGATTATTTCTGCAGGGCCACAGTGAGAGACTAGAGAGACCCAAGGAAGCCAGCAGCCAAGGTCACTTTCTGTGAATACACCAACTCTGAGCACTCAAAACCTTAGTGGCACTGCTGAGGTGGTCACTGCCAGCCCACAGTTACGGCCCACATGGCAGCTAGCAGCTTGTTTCTAAAGACCAGGACCTATCATGGTCCTGGAGCCTATACACCCATCTGGCTATGTAGAATAGGTCTGGGGTGAAGAGAAGCAGCCCACGACAGTCAGAGGAAGAGGAACCAGGGAGAGGACCAGGACCAAGGACAGAGATTACAGAGCCAAGCTGAGGAGTCTGGACTTTAAAATTCACAGTGGTCACATGTACAGATGGGGCCAGATCAGGGTGGAGGCCAGAAGGACAGAGGTCACATTCTCAGATTCACTGTGGGATGTGGAGGCAGAGCCAGGAGTGGGTGTCAGTACAGGACAGCTGGGTATTCCCTGGGGAGGGAACACAAGAAAGAAGCCCTTGAGGGAAGCACCCAGAATGGCTTGGCAAGTACAGAAGCCCTAGAGGGACATCAAGCTACAGAACCCCTCCACCAGAGGTCATTTACTCATGGAAATGGGCCACCTGGAAAGGTCAGTTCACCTGACCAAGTGAGCTCACCAAAAGGCAAGTCCCTACATTGACTCCTTTCTCTCAACCATAGCTTTGGGTGACTGATTTCCATATAGTCTTTGCCATAGTAGTTCGAAGAAATTTCTGCTTATCCTTGTCCCAGCTCCTTGATCTTTCAGGTAGAGATGACGTGCTGCAGCCTAGAAAGGGAAGACGAGTTGGAGAGGATTGAGGAGCATAGGAGAGACTAAAAGGCATGAAGTAACTGAAGGGGAAGAAGAGAAGTGGGGAATGGGAGGGCACTGAGGGACCAGAAGGGGACTGAGAGTAAAGCAGGCCCTCTGATACTGCTGCTGAGTTGGAGACCTGAGGATGTTAGTCCTCATCTGGATGCTGATCCCCTCTTCCCTGTGCACCCATATGCTGTTCCCCTGGCCCTGGCAGAAGGTGCTACTAACCCAGGAGCCTTATTTGAGGAGGTGTTTGTCCTTACAGGGACATATTCTCCCAGGGATTTGGGCCTTTCCGCTGGGTATGCACATCGAGGGACCCCCAGGACTTGGCTGTCACAGACCAACTGGCCACATCTGTGCTGGAGAAGGCCATTGCTGATGGAGGTGACACTGTTTGGTGGGGAAAGCTCATGAGTGGGGAGTGGGTAGTTTCCAAAGCCCTTTCCTCTTTAGGGTGTCTGGTATGGGGGATCCTGGCCTCTGAATGTTGTTCTGACCCTGGAAGCACAAGCCCCACATGCTCCATCATGCTCTAGAACTGTTCTCTGGTGTGCAGTCAGGACCTTCTGGCTGAAAATGTCAGAAAGCCACTGTATTAATCAGCTTTCCATCACAAGATACCTGAGAAAATCAATTTAACAGAAGAAAAGTTTTATTTTAGCTCACAGTTTCAAAGGTTTTTAGTCCATAGCCAGTTAACTCCACTGTTCGGGGTGTATGGTGAGACCTCATATCATGGCAGAAGCACGTGTCTAAGAAGCAGAGTTACACGAAGCCCGAGTCCCAGTACTCCCTTTGGTGGTATGCTCCCAAAGGCCTGACTTCCCCCATTAATTCTCTAAAGGTTCCATCATCTGACAATAACACTACAGGCTGGCCACCAAGCCCCAACATGTGGACTTTGAAGGAAATATCAGATCCAAACTATAGCAGCCACTCAAACTGGCTAAAGCAGAGGGGTCTTTCAGGTTCAGATAACCTAGCAGTCATGGCAGGGCCTTACCACAGTCCCTCTCTGGCCCAGATTTTCTCCTGCATGTTGCCTGGCCCTGAAAGCCCTTGAGAACTGGCTTTGAATTTCTGTCAACAGCACTACTGAATCATGTCCATTGTCTTTCGTGAGCATACCACCAGTGATCTGGGACCCATCCAACCTTCCTGGTCTATTCAAATGTTCTTTAAATCAGTAGTTTCCAAATTTGTCTTAGGTTTTGTGGATACAGAATTGGGTCTGCCTCTTTGACCTGGATGACTATGGTCTTGCTGAGTTTGGGTATTCCTGACCTTTTCTTAAACCACACTGCTCTTATCAAATGCATTGGACATTGCTGTCATGTGGAGAAAAGGAGGCAATTAGCAAACAGTCCAGTTGCCAAAGCTCTCACCCCTGCTTCTCAGTGGCATTTCTGCAGACCTGGATGGCCTGCTCTTTGGGGATAGTTTCTCAGCTTTAGCTTGTTACTCTAAGACCCTAGGGCCCATTTCAACCCTGCTATGAACAGTAGATTCCATGGCCTATATCTGGGGTCCACGTCACACAGATCCAGGAGCCAGGAGGCATGGGGGAAGAAGCTGGGGCCTTCTCTTAGGAAATCTGGATCTGTGCTTCCCCAGGCCTCCCTAGCTTCAAACAGCTTCCCAGCCCCAGCAGGTGGGCTGCTGAGTATGTAACAGCCAGCACTCTGGAAAGAAGCCTGGCTATTGTACCTGCCAATGACCATGGTGTAAATATTCCCAGAATGATTGACTTCAAGCTGTGACTGTGATTTGGCTCTGTGAAGTTTCCACAAAGCAGATTTGATAGACACAGTTAACTTTGATAGTGTAGAACATAGTAAAGGGCAATAAAATAATATGTAATAGTAAGTCTGCAGTATTGCCCTTTTTTTTCCTTCGGTACTGAGGGTTGAACCCAAGGTCTTTGCAGTAAGCAACATCCTCAGTCCTTTTTTTAAAAAAATGTGTAATTTTGAGACAGGGTCTTTGTAAGTTGCTAAGTTGCCAGGTTGGGCTTGAACTTGCAATCCTTCTACCTCAGCCTCCCAGAGTACTCGGATAAAGGCCTGTGCTAGCCAGTATTGCCTTAATTTTTAATATATTTTTAAAACTATAAGTTTATTTAAGCAAGATTTTTAATGATATGTGTGTTGACCACTAACTCACACAATTTCCAAAAAATCAGTCATCCTACTCTCATGAGCTGATATGAGCTGGTTCCCATGCACCACAACTACCACCCATCCACTCACCCTCCTGGGATAGGCCAAATTCATTCCCACCACACAACTTTGGCACTGACTTTTCCTTCTGCCTAGGACTCTGTTCCTACTGAGCCTTGTATAGATAACTCCTTCTCAGCATTTAGGACTCAGTCTGTCACCTTTTGGGGGGAGTCTTTTGTCCCCCTAACCCACTACCCTAGTGATCACCACATTACACTCTCTTATTGTCTCAGGACCAGCCCAAGCCTCTGCTTCTGGTACTTAGCAAGGTGGTTGTTATACAGCAGGCCCTGATTAGCTGTTGGCTGATGGAATGGATGTAGCACCACACATTTATTCATGTGATCATTGCACTATAGGTTCCCAGAGTCAGGAAGACTGGGGTTTTTGTGTTGGGTTCCCTGGAGCCAGCCCTCAGGGCTGTCACAGCACGTGCCCATGTCAAACAGTCCACAGAATGGCAAGGGCTCCCTGGCAGGGACTCCCAGTGACTGTGACACCACTCCCTTTTCTCCCTACAGTGAAGGCATCTGTGAAACTGCAGTATATGGACAACATCCGCTGGATCCGAGAAACTGCCAAGCATCAACTGGTAAGGGCTGTAGCCTGGAGGCCTATAGGAGTGGGCTGCAGGGATTGGGAAAGGCCAAACTCTCAGGAGAGTGCTAAGAGTTGAGAAGCTGCTAACAGGTTCTCAGCCCAGAGCACAGCATCCAGCTTGCTGACTCTGGACCTTATGTGACTGTTCACAGCAGCTCCATGGTGGCCACCCCAGGAAGGGCAGTGACTGCGATCTTGCTCAAGAAAAAAAAAGATAGAGAAAGAAGTTGGAACCTGGGTGGCCTGGGTAGTGATGTGGAGCAACTGGAACCTTTATGCACTGTAGGTAGGAACATCAAGTGGGGCAGCTGATGTGGAAAATAGTCTAGATGTTTCTCAAAAGATGATAAAACTACCACATGACTCAGCCACCCTACATAAGTGTACACAGTGGTACCTGGGTTCGTGTGCTCAATTTTTTCCACAGTTCTGATAGCAAACCAAATTGGATGAGAACCAAATCAAATCCAATGGTTAGGTTCAATCTTGACTTTATGAAGAAATTAGATTCAGTTCTTGTCCAATTCAGTTTGCAACCAGAAGTGTGGACAGAATTAAGTTCATGAAGCAAGGTACCACTTTGCATCCAAAAGGATTGAAAGGAGGACCTCAAGGAGCTATTTGTACATGCACATTTATAGCAGTGATATTCCCTGTAGCTAAAATAAGAAAGCACTCCAAATGTCCAGGGACAGATGAATGTATGAACAAAATGTGATCCCTACTTACAGTAGTGTCTTGGTTACTTTTCTTGTTGCTGAGACAAAACACCCAACACCCAAAGTTAAAGAAGGAAAGGTTTATTTGGGCTCACAACTAGAGAGGTTTCAATTCATAGTTGGCTCCAAGGTAGGGTGGTATACATAGCAGACAGGCACCACAGAGGAGAAGCAGTTCATGTCAGGCAGAAGGTAGAAGGCAGCAAATACAAGTGACAAGTAGTGACCCTCTTTCTCTTCCTTATATCCCATCCAGGATACCCACCTTTAGGTGCCCTTAGGGCAGGCAGCACTCACACTCAGGGTAGGGTAACCTCAATCCTAGCATCACACCTTGCATCAATCCCAGCAGCACATTCTTGATCCCAGCATCACACGCTCTAGGTGCAGCCAACTCTAAAAAGCCTGCCTATGACTACATGAGGCTTCCAGGGACCATCTAGGTTCAAGCCATAACAAGTGGAATCTTATTTGGCCTTTACATGGAAGGAAATTCTGGTACTTGCTACCACATGGGTGAACCCTGCAGACACTGTGCTGAGTGAAACAGACCAAACACAAAAAGATGAATACTCCATGATTCCATTCATATTGTACGAGGGCCATACAATAATCAAATTCACAGAGACAGGAAGTGGGATGGGGGCAAGGGAATGGGTAGTTATTGTTCAGTGAGGACCAAGTTTCATTTAGAAAAAGAAGGAAAAGATAGTGGTGACAATTGCAGGATGTTATGAATGTATTTAATGTCACTGGCGCTAAATATACCATAACGATCAAAGTGGCCGATTTTATATTATGTGTATTTTACCATATAAAACAAATTGAGGAAAATAAAAATGGCTTTTCAGGGTGCAGTGAACAGGGTTGTTCTTCCTCCAGTTATTCAAAATGGCTTTTAGAAGAGGTGGAAAGCTCAAGAAGATGAAAGCTCAAGCTCTGGAGCCCAAGTTATCTCTACCATGTTCTCAGCTGTGTGTCACAAGGCAAGTGGCTCAGCCTTTCTGAGCCCCATACTTTCATCTAGTGGAGACTGATGACAAACCTTGGGACAGGCCTTCTATGACCCTCCCTGTGCACAGGTTGCCAGGCCAAGCGCTAAGAAGAGAGATGTATCATGCCTCATTTCTGTGACTGCCTGTGACACAAAACACTAGCAGGCAGGTACAAGGTAGGAGAGACTTCATTCACAGAGGTCAGGAAAGGAGTAAGAATGTGTGCTCACTGAGAGAGCAGCCATCATACGACATTCATGGGAGGCTGAGGAAATAGCCAGTGTGCAGGCCACCAGGTAGGACCAGGCCGGGGGTAACAAGGACAAAATGAGAAAAGGAAACTACAGTTAGCTCCCCTGCCTTTAGCCATCAGTCATGTCTGCACTAATGAGTCCTGGGCCTGGGGTCCCAGGGCCTAATAGGAACTGCTTCTGCTCTCCTGGCTTGTCCCAACATATGCAGTGGTTTGCATTTGTGTCCCAGTTGTAAAAACCTGTGTTCCAGCACCAGTCTTTGTGGTGGGGCTAAGTTAGAGACACTCAAGTCCCAGCCCAGGGAGTTTAGGGCTCAAGAGATCGTGTACCTGGTCAGTACAGAGAAGGGCCGGAGAAAACAGAAGGCTGGGTGGCCAAAAGCGGACCAGTGGGAGGTGTTGTGAGCCATGGGTATGCAGAAAGGCTAGTGAGTGCTGCCGTAGGGGCAGCAGAGGAGACTATTCTTCTGGGTTTGTGTTAAAATATTCAAAGATTATGTTCTTCCTAACTACTAGTTACTGCTTTTCCTCTTGTGAATCGTGGTAACTATAAAGGATTTTTCTTTTTAAAAACTGTGACTGAGATGCTTTTAATGCACATTCTTGACAAATTTGGCAATTCTATGTCAGTTCCGATTTTCCCCTTCTGGATCCAAGACATGAAAATCTCAATGAGACTGATTTATACTTAGGAATGTTTCAAAAAATACTTGAGGCACCTGATGTGAGTAAAATAAGGATGTTCAGTAGGAACCCAGGAGGAGGGAAGAAGCGACCCTGACCAGCCGTCCTGCCCAGGCTGGAGCTCACGCGCAGGTGCAGGGTTGCACCCCTCAACATTTTCGGCACTCTGTTGCCCTGTGCCCAGACCAGCTCACCAGGCATTGGGGACAATGACCATGTATCTCATTTGGAGAGACTATAGTTTATCAGCCCTGGCACTGTTGACATTAGGCCAAATAATTTTTTTAATCATAGTAAAATATGCACAGTCATAAAATTTACCATTTTGGGTACATGTTTCAGTGGCATTAGGTACATTAACATTGTTAAACAACAACCACCACCGTCTATCTCCAGAACTTTTTGTCTTTCCAAACTGAGACTCTGTTCCCATTAAACACTATCTCTTATCCTCCATTGACTGCTGGCACTCACCATTTTTCTTTCTGTCTCTGTGACTATGACTGCTCTAGGGACTTCAGATAAGTGCAAACATATCATATTTGTGTGGCTGGCTGATTTCTCTTAGCATAATGTCCCCAAGATTCTTGTATGTTTTAGCCTGTGTCAAAATTTTCTTCCATGGCATCCTGAGGAAACTGGTTCCAGGAGCCCCACGTACACCAAAATACACAGGTGCTTGAGTACCTTACACACAATGGTATAGTATTTGCTTAGAATCTATGCATATCCTTCCATATACTTTAAATAATTTCTAAATTACTTATAATACCTAGTACAGTATAAATGTATAAATGCCAATATACTGTATAACAACAACAAAAATGAATGCTTCTGCTGTGAACATGGATGTAAGTCCTTGGGTGTTGGATAAATCTTTGTTGGGGGCCACTGTTGGATGTTTGGCAGCACCCTTCCCCAGCCAGCAGCACCCAAGAATGTTTCCAGATATTGTCAAATATCATCCTGGTTGAGAACTATGGGGCTAAACAGTGACTTATTTTCATTTTCAGAATCTTTAGCCTCTTGGGAACAATTGCCCATTACCATCCAGAGGTGCTATTATGCATGGGAATTGATTGTATGGGTGCTGAAATGGGTACAGAGGTCCAAGTCCCAATCCATGAGAAGGTTGCTCATCTTCTCTGTAAAACGGAGCTTATGATGAGGACAACAGTATTTTCTTTCCAATACTCATAAAGGTAGCCTATAAGGGAAGTACTTGGGGTGAGCCAGGCACAATCAGGTATCACATTAAGTGGGGGTAGTATTAGTGTTGGAAGGACTCCAGAAGGAGTAATGCCCCAAATAGGTAACCTCCCTGGTGCACAGGTGATTCCAGGGAGGAACCTTAGGAGTGGCACACCATGAAAGGGTATCTGGTGGCCCAGAGATCAAGTGGACACAGAGTGACTGGTGTGTCTGTTTGGTGAGCTAGGTACAAAGGTGTGCCCAGGCTTTCAGACTTTGTAACTACCACAAATTTCAAGGTCCTCCAGGCATCCCTAGAGGGACCATCAGGCTGCTAATAGACACTGTGATATAGCCTGAGAGTCACCCATTTTACAGGTTGTGGCATGCTTGCCTTTTTTGGCTGAAGGGCTTTCTCACCCTTCCCTCTGCAGGTTGTGGGGTCCCAGGCAAGGATCCTGTACTCAGACCAGAAGGGCCGTGTGGCCATTGCTGTGGCCATTAACCAAGCCATCGCCAGTGGAAATATTAAGGTGATGTATCTTGTTCTACATGGACTCGGGCTCTTTCTCCTTGATACAGGCCCTACCGTGGGACTTCTCACCTTTGTCCCTGGTCTGTCCCCTCATACCTTCCTAGTCTTTGTGGAGAGACCCCCTCATCTGGCCTCAGTAGCTAGTTGCTCAGGAACAGTGAGTCAGCCCTTATCTGGAAGATCTTGCCCTCCCCTGTTTGAGGCCCAAATCACCAATTTTTTTTAGGGAAACAAGATTTCATTGAAGGTCTTAGTCTCTGTGGATCAAACAGACAGAGGGGCTCAGACTTTAACTTTCTTGGGAAGCAGGGCTTGCTTGGGGAGTTGAAGGTGTGAGATGGTGTTGAGGGAGAAGGGAGGAAAAGAGTGTTCTTCTAGGGCTCTCAGTGTACATCATTGTGGGGGGGTGCTGGGTATCTGGGAGCCAGAGTGACTAGGCCATTTCTCAAACCCAAACCCTGACACTGTTCCTTGCTGTGTAAACTTGGGCAAGACAGCTGAGTGCTCTGAAGCTCGGTTTCCATATTCTGCAAAGAGAGTATCTTGTTAAAATTGCAAAGTATGGGTGTGAGGATTAAATGAGTCAGCTTCCACAAGAGTGATGTTACATATCTTCTTCTGAGATATCTTTTCCAGCCCATGACAGTTTCCCCCAGCTTTTGCCCATTTTTCTCCCACCTCAAGGATGCAGAACTCTGGGCACACTCACTTGGAAGGAGCCTGTCATTCCACTTTTCTCTTTTGCATGGGCTCATGCCATACAGTTCTTAGTGGCATCTCTCTGTTTGAGTGTGCCAGGAATGTGAACCACTAGATGTGAAGGTAAAATTGAGAGATTTGTGTGAACACTGTCCCTATGAATGGTTTGGGGCCTTGCGTGTGTTTGTAGGGGTGGCACTTCCCAAACACCTGCTTTGTTTACAAGGACTGCTGGCAAAGCTCTCCCCTCAGTCACACGGCCAACAGAGAGAGTGATTGATTTGATATGCATGCATCTATTCATTCATCCATTCATCTATCCATTCATTGACAACACTCCGCTGAGTGCCTCTTGGGTGCTGGCATTTTCTAATCACCCAGTAACATTAGAGAACATGATAGACACAGTCCCAGCCCTGGCATATTTAGTTTAATGAAGGAAAACTGACCACACATGCCTGTAGGTATAAATTAAGAGAGACTCTCAGATGCTGATGGACACTTCGAGGAACATGAACCAAGGAAATGATGTCAAGAGTGGCAAGGTGATCAGGACAGGATCTCTGAGTTGCTGGCAGGCCATTCTGGCCAGAGATGCCAGAATACCTAGGCAGAAATGGTTTTACTGCAAAAGTGAAGATGAAAAATCTCTCTCCCCACAGAGACTGGAAGCTCAAAAGGGCTCCTAGCAATGATTTTGTCTAAGTAACCAAGGTATCTTATATACTCCCACCCTGCAGGCCCCAGTGGTTCTGAGCAGAGACCACCATGACGTGAGTGGCACTGACAGCCCTTTCAGAGAGACCTCCAACATATATGATGGTTCTGCCTTCTGTGCAGGTGAGAAAGATCAAAACAATTTTTTTTTTATTCTGTGCACTGGATACAGTGGTTTGTGTCCCACCTACTCAGGAGGCTGATGTATGAAGATCCCTTGAGCAAAGGAGTTCAAGAGCAGCCTGAGCAACATACAGAAAGGCCCATCTCAAACTTGAAAGAAGAGAGGAGGGCGAGGGGGGCAAAGGGGATGAGGAAGTGGGAGGCTGGGTATAAATTAAAATTGATGTATTCATTTGATCTCTTAATTGTGACAGATGCTGTGGTATCTGAGAGACTGGGCATAGCGTAGGGCAACCAACCCAGGGCTGAAACCATCCTGGGATGTAAGACTTCTTAGTTCTTTGGGTTAGTTTTGTTTGTTTGTTTTGTTTTGCTTTGTTTTTGAGGCAGGGTTTTACTATGTAGTTGAGACTAACCTGGAACTCACTATGTGGCCCAGGCTGGTCTCGAACTCACAGCGATCCTCCTGCCTCAGCCCCCCAAGTGCTGGGATTACAGGTGTGTGCCACCACACCTGGCTGGATGTAAGACTTCTAGTTTTAAAATTAGGCTAGTTTCAGGCAAACTGGGATAGGTGGTACCCTAAACTCAGGCGTACATCTGACCTTCTCACTTGTCAGGTAACTTTAAGGCCCTCGGGGAAAAGCTGATTCCTTGCCTTTCCAAGTTCTAGAGCTGTGTTTCTTGTGTTTCTTGGCTCATGGCCCCTTTTCAACCATCACAACCCAGGACCAGGGAGGAAAAAAAATGTTTTGGGCCAGGGATTTAGTTCAGCGGTTCGGTGGCCTGCCTTGCAAGCGCAAGGACCAGAGTTCAATCCCCGGTCCAAAAAAAAAGTGTTTTTAGGATTCTCCCTGATCTCTGTAAGCACCCAGTGGGAGTTTTGGAGGAAAAGCCTACAAGAGGGAACAAACCCGTTACACTTGTGTGCCTGGGGGCCTCACAGTCTCAGTTCAGGCTCATCTTTGAACAATGCCTTATAAGGCTCTGTTTCCCTCTCCAGCTGCTCCTTCTCTAGACTGCAGGTTACATGATTGTGCTGTTGTAACCAAACCCAATGGGTTCATCCCCTGGTGAGTGCAAAGCCAGTAATCACAAGGAGGAGAAAAAAGAGTGAAGAAAGCTCTATTACTTGAAGCAAGTAAGGAGAGCTGTGGGCAGAACTCCCAAAGGAATGTCTCTCCCCAAAGTGCAAAAGTAAGGGGCTTTTATTGGGGAAATACATACATATTCATACAGGAAAGACTCAAAGCTGGACACATTTCTGAGCACGCTCAATTGGAAATCATGCTTCTTCATACATCCTAGGTCCAAAAATAGTGAAGAAGAACACTTTCTGAACAGACTTTAGTACGATAATGAGCAAAGTTCACTCTAGATTGGTCCCCTAAAATGGTGAGTCAGATTGACTCAGCAATTTGGGGTCGTTCCTTGTGGGTTTCTCTGGAAGGCTTTATCTGAAAGGAGCAACAACAACAATGAATGTAACTGTACTGTATCCCTAAAATGTACCAATAAACTCAATTAAAGCTGGGGGAAAAAAAAGAAAGGAGCAACAACAAAACAACTTGAACAGGCATTAGCAGTTGCGTAAAGGGGCAGCAGTTGTTCCCCACAAGCATAGGTGACTCCCTTTAAAAGTACCTGCCGAGAAGCTCACAACACACCCAGTTCTCTGACAGAGCAAGAAAATCATTCCTTTGAAGTCCGTCCACCCCTCATGTCTAAAGAGAGTGAAGTTCTGACTCCTTCTATTTCTGATGCTAACACCAGAACCACATCCCTTTTAATCCTTTTGCTCTTTCTGCTTCTAGGTGCTTTATCCAGTTTTCAACACAATGAGTATAAATATATGGAGGAACAATAGGGAAAACTGGGCATTTGTCAATTTCTCCTGCTTCTACTTGGGGTCATCTCACACAAGTTACTGCTCTTGCTAAAGTCGCTTATCACTATTCCCTATTTGCCCAGTTGTTGCCCTACTTTTCAGCCCTAGCCGTGGCCCAAGCCAGGCCTGGTCCTCAAATCTGCCACGTACACAGAATGATGAGTGGTGGTTCCTCTGTTTCTGCAGACATGGCTGTCCAGAACTTCGTGGGAGATGCCTGCCGTGGAGCCACATGGGTTGCACTTCATAACGGAGGGGGCGTGGGATGGTAAGATGTCAGAGGGTGGGCTGATGTGGGCTGAAGTCTTGGGGAGACTGAGGGTGAAGTCCTGGCTACCCTAAGCGGCATGAAATGCTACAGCTTGCAGAGGAGCACGGCTTCCGAGGCTTGGCTCCCCTGGCTGTCTCTGAGCTGGCCTCTCCTACAGCTTTGGCTGGATCAAGTAATTCTCTGCCCTGTATACCCAAGCCTGAAGCAGTCAAACTTCCCTAAAACTTCCCTCTAGAACTAGAAGTTCCCTCTAGAACTTCCCTCTAGAACTTCCCTCTAGAACTAGAAGTTCCCTAGAAGTTCCCTCTAGAACTTCAAGCATTCTAGAGGGCTGGCTTAGCCACATGCCCACTGAGGCTGTGATTCTGAGCTGCAGCCTAGTAAGGTGACTTGAATTGGCAGGAAATGTGCCTGGAATATGTGTCCTTTCCAGTACACAAACCAGAAATAAACCAGATCAGAGAAGTGCCACCTGGTTATTTGGTGCCTGGCATTTTGGCACCTGATTCACCTGTCAATTCTAGAAGGGGAAAAGAGAGATTCTAAAAGAGGTTGAGTAGCTTGTCTAAGGTCACAGACCTTCTGGAGAAGACAGAGTTTGTACACAGATCTGTCTCCCTGGAATTCATTGGGCTCCATTCACAGGAGCATAAGCTGACAAGACCCTGAAACCAATGTCCTTGGTTCTCACTGTTCTTGAGGATATTGTGGGGCAGTACCACAAATCACCTTGGGGAATCCATAACACTTACACACATATGTAATTTATCGTGGCAGATACTTCTGTAAGGCTTATGATAAACACAGCAGGAAAATCTGCCCCAGAATCATTTCTACTCCAATGGGAAACCTCCCTCGACCCTGTACCTGTAGTTTTTTCTTTGTTTTACTTAAATCTATGCTTCTGTGTTTTAAGTATATCGTGCAATTTCTTGATTTGCTTTGCCAGTTTTTGTATGATCTACTGGTTCCTTCTATTGGGTTCTTCTCTTCTCAGGGCTAGCAACAGTAGTTGTGAGTCAAATTCAGCCCCTTACATTGTCCCAGTCTTCTCTCAGACCCTCTGTTCAGTGGCTGCTTTTGTCTTGTGCGTCCAGTGGTTAAATTTAGCTTGTGTGCTGAGAATGATTTTTAGATGGTGGGCTGCAGGATGAGGCCATCTGACCAAGACACTTGCTTTAGTCTCTTATTGACAAAATGAGTAGAGTAATAGTAACTGTTTTATGGACTCACAGTGAAAGTTAAATGAATAAATGGTAATAGCTAATGTATATATAGTGTGTAATATGTGGGGAAGACCTCAGCAATTTGTGTATGTTAACTCATCTAATTAACTGCTTTACCATAGCAGACCTTTATTTTTCTTTATGTTTAACACAGGAATCTACTTTTTTTATAGCTATGGATTACATCTAAGTTCTCATATTCTACTTTTGTGTTTTCCTCAAAGTTGCAGTTAGTTGTCCCAACCTCTCTTGTGAGTAACCCCAAATTCTCCATTAATAGCAATGCTTTATCATTCCCACCTTCCTGGGCTATGCACTCTCAAGACGCTTCTGTGATCAGTTTGCTTAAATTACCTGGACCTGAGTGCCCTTGTTCTTTGATCCTCTGGGGTTCAAGCTCCTGAAAAAAGGATAGTCCTTATTTCCAAAAATCCCCTATGGTTGAAGGACACCGTGATATGACTGCTGGCTACCTTCTCCTCTTGTACCCAGCGTTAGCCTCTGACAGGTGAATGGTAATGACATGGGATCTATCCAGAGCATCTTCAACCTAGAGACAGAGGACTGCTCAGGTACAGAGATCAGGTACAGGGCAGAGCAATAGCCTGGGACAATGATAGCTCTCCACTCACAGGAGGTGCTCATCATTTAGGATGCTAGAAACTTCCAGGGCCTCAGCCGGCCCCAGCTTCCTGGTGAAAACTGGTTGAAGTCAGTCAAAATCGATGCTGGGCAGAAGCAGGAAACATTGGACAGACATGATGAATGAGAGAGTAGGAAAAAGAAATGTGCATTTTATGTGTGGGAAGGACACAAAGAAGATCACTGCAAGTGAGGAGTGTGAAGCAAAAGGAACATATTTGCAAAAAAGCAAAGAAAGGAGTTGGCAAGATCAACGGCATTTTCTGTGTGTATGACTGAAGGCAGAGGAGCCTGAGCAGGAATAGAGACCAGATCCACTCCAGGAAGCAGCATGCTGTGGAAGCCCTTGACAATGGCTTTGATAACAACCTCAGGCTGAGGACCGAGAAGGTCATTCTAGGTTGATAGAGAATAACTGCAGGCCAAGCATGTGGGAAGTAGAATTGTGTTAATGTACCAATGATTCAGATTATGTCTACTGAGAAATAAATGAAAGCGAGAGTGAGCTAAACCTCTTGGAGACCGTTAAAGCCATAGTCAGAGAAAGGCATTCATTAAAAAAATGAGAAATATTGAAAATAGAGGAACCTGACCTTCAGATCAGGTTGTCAGGACTCCATCGTATACCTGAAGCAAGAAGGAAGAAGGGGCAAAAAAGATAAAGACCACAAAAATAAAAGCAGGAAAAGTGACAGTTGAACTGAGTTACACAAGAGATGTCTCAAGGAAGTGTGGCTTCCTAAGACAGTGCTCTAAGAGGGTATAGAGACTGATGCGACCCAGCACCTTGTCCCTGACCCTGACACCTTCTCTAACCAACTAACCTTCTAAAATGTGTCTCTACCTGCTCTGTGCAGGGTCAGGAACAGTGAGTGACTTAGCAATACCTCTGCCTCTTGCAGGGGTGAGGTGATCAACGGGGGATTTGGTCTCATGCTGGACGGATCCCCAGAGGCCGAGCACAAAGCCAGGATGATGCTCAGCTGGGACGTGTCCAATGGCGTAAGTCTCCCCCAGGCTCCTCCACCTTATTTTCTGTCTTCTCTGTAGCTCTGCCTGCCCACACTGCTGCTGGGCCATAGTTCTGCCCTCTTTCCCCAAAGGATACTCAGAAGCTTGTCCTGCCCTCTGAGTGCTGCCAGGACTCACTCCTCACCAGACCAACCCCATGTCACTCTCAGTTATCTCAAGAATCTTCCAGCCACTGACCTCACCCCTCCAGTCTGGCCTCTGCCTACATGGGCATCCCTGGAAGTCCTAGTGCTTCTTCCCACAGAGCACCCCTCAGTTCTGGTATCAAGAAACCTCGCTTTCTTTGTTCTTCTTGTGGCTTGGGATGGAACCTAGGGCTTTGCACACACGCTAAGTGTAGACTGTACCACTGAATATCTCCAGCCTTACTTCACTGCCCTTGAAGGCAGATCAGATAGTAGCAGATTCTTCACCCCTTGTTGTGCAACTATAACTGACTTTGCTGTAATGTAGAATTCTCCACGGGGTAGGGGGCAAAATTGTCTGTAACTACATCATGGACATCCCAGAAGGAAAGGGTCAGAAATGATGGGTAAAGGTATGTAGGATATGAGAGAAATGAAGAGAGGACTCAGGGACCAAGGACAAGAGTCCATGCAGTGTGACATTGAGTGGCTGAGGACCCCAGGGGCTGGGTCCAGAAAGCAAGTGTAAGGGTGGAGGGGTATCTGGCAATGCTCATTCATCAGTAGGCACAGGGACTCCAGCAGAGAGTGAGAGCTGTTCATTCTGAAGCAAGGAGCACAGGGTGAGACACTGCATTTTCGTTCTAGTAGACCCCACTGGCCACTGGTGTGGAGATGGAGTTGGAGGAGGCATGGGGATGTGGGACGGGCTATTTGGCAAGAATGGCAGCAGAGAAACAATGAGTGCTAGTGAGGCTGCGAGGGGGGAAAAGAACACTCCTACACTGTTGGTGGGAATGTAAACTAGTACAACTGTAGCCAGATCCCTCCTGCTCTGGGTAGTTGTTTGGGGGTGAAAAAGATTGAAGCTGACAAAACAGCAAGCAGTAGAGAATGATGTTCATTAGGAAGAATAAAAAGAAAAGCCCCCCACAGTCAGGGAGAGGTTTCCAAAAGGAAGAGAAACTATCCATGTTTATATTCAGGGCTTTTACTCAGTTTTTAGTACAGGTAAATGTGACAGAATGCAGGAATGCTGCTAGTTGTTGCCAGGCCTTTGATTTCCAGAAAGCAGACTGTCTCGTTTGGGTCCCATACAACCAAGGTTTGTTTAGGGACTTGTCTTCTGTTCTGTGCCTTCTGTTGGGTCCTGATAGTCAATGTCTTCAGCTGATTATTCAGGCCCTTTGTAGTCAATTCATGTAAGCCTTGGCCTTCAGTTTAGTTAGCTTAGCTCCTGGGGACCTGCACCCCAACTTCCTTCTGTTTCCTGGCCTCACAACAGCTGTGAAAATCAGCATGGAGACTACACAAAAAACAAAACATGCAAATTCCATTAGGCCTAATTATACCTCTCCTGGATATATTTCCCACAAAATTGAAGACATCATACTACGATGATACATGAATACCCCTATTTATAGCGGTGCCAATCACAGTAGCTAAGCTCTGAAACAGCCTAGGTGCCTGTCAACAGATGAATGGATGAAGAAAATATGGTGTATTTCCCTGTGAAACATTATTCAACCATAAAGAAAAATGAAATCATCTCATTTGAAGAGACCATCTTGCTAAACAAAATAAGCCAGACTCAGTAAGTTAAATATCACTTGCTTTTTTATATGAGAAACCTAAAATATACATAAATGAATGCACAAAGTAAAGGAGTGATGCTAAGAAACTAGAAGATAGACTCTTGAAGGTAAAGAAGGAGATAAGAGGAGAGGAAAGGGGGACGGGAGTCAAGGGAATGAAAATGAGAAAGATACAGTATACACATCTATCAGTTTCTTGAAACCGACACTACTATTCTGTAATATAAACTTTAAAAAACAGACTGGAAGCAGGAATGGGGGAGGTACCATGACCATGATCCAGAAGAGGCCAGATAGGGAGGAAGAAGTGTACTGGAGAGGGGTTCTAACGGGGGAGGTGAGGTGGACAGAGATCCTGAGGGAAGCACTTTGGATCATTCCTGAGTTCCTGGCCAAATTCCTCTGAGTGAAGACAAGGCCATTCTTAGACATAGGGAGGGTGGGGCTGCTGGAATAACAGCTAGTTTCAGATCAAGAAGACAGTAAATCAGTTAAGTAGTCTGCATTAGATTAGAGGTCTGAGCTGGGGCTAGGGGTGAGGCAGATGGAAGGAGGTTGGCTCAACAGATGGCATCTGAGGTTTGCAAAGTGAAGGAAGATTGAGAGTTTGGGAGTCAAAACTCCTTGCAGGGTACTTGGTGATGTTGACACCAACTGCTACACATCTCTTTTCCCCAGGTGACCCGGCGCTGCTGGTCTGGGAACCCAAAGGCCTATGAGATCATCTGTCAGACGATGCAGGAGAACAGCGGCTTAGTGGTAACACTTCCCCACGACGTGACAGATGAGTGCATGCTCCAGCAAGCCCTGCAATCCTGAGAGGAATCTAGGAGCCAGCTGCAGTCCTCTTTGCCTCCCTTCCTCCCTTGGCAGTCCTCACCCTCCTCACCTCAGCACACCTTCTCCTATACACTACACTTCTGGGCTTCATGCTCAAGCCTTTATATGGCCCTCACAGCACTCTAGATGGATCCCATTTTACAGGCAAACCCCAGAGAAATGATGCCACTTGTCCATGACCATATTGCTTGACTAGGATTAGGCAGGGTAGGGCACATCTTGTGCAGGCCAAGTCCTCAAGCTTCCTACAGGGCAGACACCAGCTGCAGGGTGACTGCCGTGAATTGTCCAACCTGAGCTCCCACCAGGTCTTTCCTAAGCCTCCCTGAGTTTTCTTTGGATTTTATCACATCACTCTGCCTCCTATCTCCTGCCTGACCAGCTGTCTGTTCCTCAGCACCCCAGGCTTGGGGATAAAAAGGAGAAGCCTAGGATGGAAAATAAATAAGAAATAAAAGAAAAGAATAAAGAATGAATGCCTTTCATCCTGGCAGGGTGGAAATGGGCTGGTGGAAGTGAGAAGCTTGCTGTGCCCCAGTAAAGGGATCATTTGCTAGGGAAGTAAGGGGAGAGGAGGGCACTCCTTCTGGCCAGCACAGCATGAATTGCTCTGCAGCAGCCCCGATTGGGTTCCTTCAGGAACCACTTTAGTCCCTGACGCTAGAGCCTTGCACACCTCCCTCAAACCCAAATCCTAGCCATAGCTGAACCCAGAGCCTCCACCCCCCTACCTTGGAGATCAGGTCCAAGGTAAAGACCCAGGCAAAGGGGATTATATAGCCATACTTCCAGTCCTTCATTTTGAAAATGGCACTTATTTAGCATCTCCTACCCTCGGGGCCTCTCCTGCATTGATTCCTGGCTGTGCTATGTACTTCTTCACCCAGGCTCACTCTCCCCTTGGTCACTGCAGGCTCTCCCTGACTTAAGAAAGCACAAGGGTCAGTGGGTGAGGAGAGAGTAGGGAGAAAGACCCCTGGAGAGAGCACTAACTCCAGCCCCAGAGGTGGCCAGGCTAGAGTGGGGCCATTGCCTGTGTTTGGTTCACACAGTGATTGGTACCTGGTTGGAACCTTTTGTCTTTTCACAGCACTTACCTTTGGGGAGGGGCATGAGGTGTCCACAAGCAGCCCCATCCAAGACAGGCTGTGCATGGCCTCATCCTGTCATGGGACAAAGGCCTGGGAGGAGAAGATGGGGTTACTTTGTCCTTGTGCTGAGAAGCCAGTGACACAGTGATTAATCACAAAGCCCTTTCCTTTGCGATCAATTATACTTTCTCAATGAGATACCCACCCTCAAAAAGTTTTTGAATTTAACTGATACCATTGGGAAAGGATTATAAAAGTTATGTTAATCAGCTTTATATTGGCATAATGAGCTATCTGAGTCCATTAACTTGGAAAGAGAAAAGGTTTATTTGGGCTCTCATTTCTGGATGTTCCAGTTCAATCTCAGGCAGCCCTAGAGCTGTAGGGCTCCAGCGAGGGTGATGGATGACAATGGCAGGGAGTATATGACAGAGCAAATCGCTTAATCACGATTCAGGGAGCAAATAGAAAGAGGCTGAACTGGAGTCCCATCACTGCCCCACTCTCTGCTTGACTTCTGTGTTACAAATGAGGCTGGTCTTGCTTAGACCCCTGAAGTGACCTCCTATCCAGCCTTCTTGCCTCCATTCTTACCCTAATTCTATGTGGGAGACTCTGTGCTCAGGGAGATCACTGTAAAATACAATGGTAGCGTGTAACACCTCTGCCTAAAAACCCATGATAGTTCCTGTTGTAGTCAGCAGGGTTGGGCAAGGGAATACATTAAATACAGAACACATAACTTATTTGGTTATTGTATGATAATTACCCAAAGAATCAAATGCAAAGAACAGCAAGAGAGTAACTGCCCACTAGAAGCCCAAAGCATTTAACTGAGGGCCTGGATCCCAGCAGTTTCCCACACAAGTCCAGCTAAAGGCTTAGAGTCCCAGGAAATGTCCTCCTCGAGTCCAGCCTAGAGCCCACGGCAATGTCCCATGCTTATCCATATTGAAGATCTACACCTGGAAGGCCCAAAGGCCAGTGGTGGAAGCCAGAAAATCTGTGCTGGTGAGATGAAGGATCTGTGCCATCAGTCTGAGGGATCCACATTGGAGCCAGGAAGTAAGGCTCATGGTCAAGATCAGAGCTCCCCTGATGAAAGCAGCAGCCATTCCCAGCGACAGCGAGGTCCTGAGCTCCTCCTCTGACAAGAACAGCCTACTTCACCTCAGGAAAACCATCTGTAGCAAGCCTCTCCTAGAAAACAAACAGGCCAAGATCTTGCCCTCAAATTCTTTTTCTAGCTATTCTATCTCAGGTGGATCCTCTGCGCCCAGACCACAACAATTCAGTTCGTCTGCGGGTTATAAATTGACCATTCATCAACCCACTACAGTTCCCCTAACCCTTGTTGGATCCTCAGGGCCTGAGGACACAGACAAGGATGCAAAGATGAGCACCCTCATACAAGAGGGCTCCTTGGAGATTGTCACTGAGGCCAGTAAGGAGGTGGAGGAAGACTTAGAACAGGAGGTCCACAAGTAGCCACAGAGGACAAGAAGCCACACAAGACAGGCAAGACACCACCTTTCTAATGTCCATAAAACTGACTACATCTGCTGAAAAATACTCTAAAAAATATGTCACTATTGAAAAAGGAAGAGAAATAGAAGAGGGTAATATCTATATTGCTATCAAGTGTTTTTCAATAAAATTATCTTCTTTTTACTTTTACTGTGGTAAAGTACACACAACATAAAATTTACCACTGTAAACAGTCTTCAGTGCCCAGTTAAATGGCATTAAATACATTCACCATGTTGTGCAATCATCACCTCCATCTCCCAAATTGTTCTATCTTCCCATGATGAGATTCTGTCCTCATTAAGCACTATACTTTATCCCCCTCCCCCAGCCTCTGGCACCCACCCTTCTTTCTTACTCTGTGAATCTGGTTAATCTAAGGACCACACACGTGAGAATCATGAAGTATGTATTCCTTTGTGTCTGGCGTTTTTTGCTTAGTATTATGACCTTAACGTTCATCTATCTTGTAAAATGAGTCAAAATTCCCTTCTTTTATAAATGTTGGATAATATGCCATTGTATAGGTAGAAGACATTTTGCTGAGCATTCCTCTATCAACAGACAGGTCATTTACCCCTTTTGGGTATTGCGAATAATCCTGCGCTAACACAGGTGTCCCTGTTTTCAATTCTTTTGAATATATACCCAGAAAAAAAATTTTTTTTCCAACAAGAGACTGTTCAGGAGACTTTATTCAGGAGAGCAGATCAGAGAGAGGGAGACAGAGCTATACTCAGAAATTTGCAGAATCATATGAAATTTTTATGTTTAATTTTTTGAGGAACTAAGAAAATGTTTTCCATGGTAGAAAAATACATGTTTAATCATAAAATTATTTTTAAAACATGTGCTTGCTATCTAAAATACAATCAAATAGTTCCAAAGGGAGCCAAGTGTAAGCTCAAAGCCCTCTTTTCCCACCTCACTTCAGAAGTAATCAAATGTGCTAGCAGTTTCTTATATTTCTTCCTAGAAAATTGCAAAGTATATGCAAGTGTGTGCACACATAGGCAGTTTTTTTTTCTAATACGCAAGTGGGATCATCCTAACCAATGTTCTGTACTGACTTTTAAAATACACTGTAATGGGAATACATGTAACATAAAAGTCATCATTTTAAAGTTTATAGTCAATCAGTGGTTTTTAGTATACTGGCTGTGTTGTGCAACCATCACCACAATTTTAATTTCAAACGAGTTCCATTTCCTTATAAAGGAACTTTTGGCTATTAGCAGTGGGTCCTAACTCCCCTTCTCCCTCTAGCCACTGACAATCTCTAACCTATTTTCTGCCTGTATGGATTAAACCATCCCAACAGTTCATATAAGTAAAATCATATAACATGTAGGCTTTTGTGACTGGCTTCTTTCTCTTAGTGTAATGTTTTCAAGGTTCAACCATGTTGCAGCATGTGTCCACATTTTACCCCTTTTTGTGGCTGAAAAATATTGTATCCATTGTGTGGACAGATCACATTTATTCACCCATTCCTCTGTTGATCTGATGAACACTTTGGTCACATTTTTTTCGTTATTATGGATAATGCTGCTGTGAACATTTACACACAAGTTTTGTGTGGACACATTTTAATTTTTCTTAAGTAGATATCTAAGAGTGGATCATGTGGAAATTCTATGTTTAACTTTCTTTTCTCCCCTGGTACTGGGGATCGAACTCTGGACCTTTCTCTTGAGAGGCAGGCACAGAACCACTGAGCTAAATCCCAGATCCATTCTGTTTAACTTTTGAAGAAGCCATTTTCCATATGTCATCACTTTACATTCCCACCCACAATGTACAAGGGTTCCAATTTTTCTATATCCTCACCAACACTTGTCCTTGTCTGCTTTTAGAACATGTTATCTTAGTAGATGTGCAGTGGTACCTCACTGTGATTTTGATTTGAATTTCCCTAATGCTTAATGCTGTCAAGCATCCTTTCTTACAGTTTTTGGACATTGCATATCTTTTTTGGAGAAATGTCTATTTGAATCCTTTGCCCTTTTAAAAATTGGATTGTCTTCTTGTTTAGTTATGAGTACCTTCTTTATTCTAGACAGTAGATCCTTATCAGACATATAATTTACAAATTTCTCTTCCATTCTATAGATTTTTCACTTATTAATGCCCTTTGACTCATAAAGTTTTTTTTAAATTTTGATGAAGGCCAATTCATTCTTGTTCCTTTGCTGATGCCTTTGATATTTCCTGTAACAAACTACTCCCTTGCCAAAGGTTATGCAGATTTATAACCCTGCTTTCTTCTAATACATAGTTTTAGTCTTACATTTAAGTTTATAAAATCAATTTTGTCAAATTTTGTATGTGATATGAGACACACAGGACTACTATTGTCAAAAAGACCATTGTAGCCTCCACTAAATGGTCTTAGAACAACATATTTTGGCATCTATTCATATGTACATGCATGTACATATAATAGATGTCTTCTCTTTTTAGTATTATGATATACTTCACTTTAAAGTACCTTTAATGGTAATAAAACATTTGCTTGTTTGTACATATATCCTGGAGTCTTCCCTACCAGGTTCTGGGCATTCATCTGTGCATGAGACATAGTCCCCATGCTGCAGAAGCCTACATTCTAGACAAGGAGATAGTGAATGAACAGGGAAGGCAACATGAGGAAGGGGGCACCTAAAACAACTGCATGGTGAAAGCTATAAAAACAAACAAGGGGAGAGGTGGGAAATAGGGGGCCTGAGTATAGGTGTAGTTTAGAAAGTTAACACGGTCCTCCCAGAGGAATCCAAGAAATCTCTGCCAAGTGTGTAAGGAAAAAACCAGCTTGACCTGTTAGAGAACCTGAGGAGGTGGCGTGCAGGGCAACACAGGCAAGCAATGAGATTGTACAGTAAGAGGCATGGTACTGGGAAAAGAAGGTAACTCCTTTCTAAGCTTGAGGGTGTGAAGGGCAGACTGGCAAGGCTTTATGGGCAATGGAGAGCAAGGGGAGGGTGGGCATGATCAGACCTTTATTCTGAGATCACAAAAGCCTGCCGTGTGGAGAACAGATTGAATTAAGGCAGTAGGGAGACTGAACTAACTGGAGACTGAAAACCAAAAACTAAGTTAGTTATTTTTCTAAAAACCTAGAAGTAAAGTATGAATTTAGATTGGATAGTGGTGAGGAAACTGAGAAGCAGAGGGGCTCCAGATTGAATATTCAACCTCCTCATAGGAAGAGGTCAGTAGTGTCCTGGGAACAGTGACAAACTTAGCTTCTGCAGGCTGAGGCTGTGTGAAATAAAAAATACAGTTAGCAATGTAGACAGGGGCCCATCAGGGGGCTCTGGGTGCCGGCAAAGAACTTGAGGTCCATTACAGGATGAGTGGGCACTTAAATGAGCAAATGGGGAAGTGGTCCAGCCTGATGAATGTTGAAACCCAGAATCTACCAATTCCTAGTTCCGTGACTCCGAGCAAAGGACTCGACTTCTCTGTGCCTTTTTCCTGACACCTGTAAATACAGTACATTGACTAAGCGCATGTTTCCAGTGTTACGCTTACGAGATGTCCGTTAGTATCAATCTCTGTGCCTGCACTATCGAGATACAAAAATATCACTCAAAGTCAAAGGAGCCTGAAGGACGCGTTCAGCATCGAATTGAAGTTTACAGAATCTGGGGAGGAGCCCGCGACGCCCCGC